GAAAGGTGGAAGTGTCTGTGTGTTGTAATTTTGTGAATAGTGTCCATATCAAGTTCAGGTCAAGGTTCGATCAATCAAACGGTGACGGTTTTCACTGAGTATCTTTTATTGTTTTGCTGTACTGCATGTCATGTGTATCTTCTAACCATGGTACCCTTATAATCATGATAATTGTAATAAGTCAAAGCTAGTCAGATGAGATATGTTTATCAACAGTTAAGATAAAGTTAAAGGTAATTTAGAGTCAAACATCTACAGAGGTGTAACGCTTCCATATCCTGGAGGCTGTTATGAGACCTACAGAGCCGGGTTGCCATCGGGGGAATTACTGCTCGGTTTCCTCTGTCAGGGGAAATGTCGGAGCGTATTGGGTATTGACATAACGGCCATTGGCCGGCGTGGTATCCTGGGTCTGTGTGACCGCCTAGGTTCTTCTCGAGCCAATCGCAGGAGTCTGAAAGTATCTCATGGCAAGATGTGTATAGGGATTGTTACTTAAAGTTGTCACGCTGCTCGATTATCTCTCAATGAGAGGTAACGTTGGAGCTTCTGGATATTGACACGGCAACGTGATATCCTGGTTTTTGGGCTGCTTTTCGTAACAATCAAATACTTGGCATATCTGTCTAAGCACCCCAAATTATTAAGGTTTCCATATCGGGCGTAACTTCAATGCGGTAGGAAGCTACCGTTCCTCCAAGTATGGGCACGGGCGTGACTTCCATGCGGTAGGAACCTATTGTTCCCCCGTGCAAGATAGATAGATAGATAGTTTATTGTCCTATTGGATCATGTTACATGATATAAGACTTGTCAATATCAATTTGAGGGTCATATATGCGTTTGAGCAAATATGCCAGAAAAATACTTATAATTATAAAATAAATAAGGACATTACAATTACAAAACATTTTAAAAGGTTAAATCACATTATAGGTACAGGTACAGTGCAAAAATCGTAATGTGTTCAATCTGTAACGGTAAAAATATATACATATACAGCGACTTTTTTTATCACAAAAAATGTTCGTCTAGCCGGTAAAAATCATTGAAGCTGATACAAAGAAAAGAAAAGCGATAAGAGAATCTGTTAGAAATACATAATATATAAACACAATGAACATCGAGCAGTGAGGACAAATGGTTAAAAGCTTAAAAAGAAAACATACATACTTTCGTTAAAATTCGAATAAAAAGTGAAATTAAAATACATTTACTCCACGATAATAGACAATTCACTGATAACGAAATGATTAACAGCTTAAAAGAATTTAAAAAACAGATACTTTCATGTGTTAGCAAAACTCATGTAGAGAGTAATAGCATTTTTCAACTAGATATTTCCTGAGATGTTTTTTCAGCGCAAGGATATTAGTGCTTCTCCGCAACTCACTCGGCAGATTATTGTATACCTTATTGCACGCTAGAGTGGGAGATTTTTGGAATAGGACAGAGTTATGAGTCGGTATATTCAGAGCATGCCCTATTCTAGTGTTGTATTGACTCTTAATGGCGTTGTTACGAACAATTGCTATGTTCAAATGCGAAGATGGCACATTTGTAGAAGATACAGATGGAAGTTAATGTAAGCATATTATAGCGTCTAAAAATTTCTTTACAAGAGTCCCTCTTATTAATATTAAAAATTAATCGAAGTACTCTTTTCTGCAGGATGAATAATCTGTTAATCATTGTTGCCTGTCCCCATATGATTATATTGTTAGTGAGGTGAGAATAAACTAGCGCGTAGTACATATCTAAGAGTGAGTTTAGATGGATGTTAGGCTTTAATTTCAATATTGCAAAATAAGCACTGTTAATTTTGTTGCAAATGTGATTTATTTGTGGTTGCCAGCTTAACTTACTATCAACATGAGTTCCTAAGAAGACAGTTTGATCTGAAAAGCTATCAATATCCATGCGTGGTTTCTTGTTGAAGAAATGAATTTCAACAGTCTTATCTTCATTCAAAATGAGGCGGTTAGACTGGCACCACTTGCTCATTTCACTTTTGACTTTCTCAATAGATTCGAGAAGATCCTGCGGTGTCGTGGCACTGACGACGATAGATGTGTCATCCGCATAATTAATCATGAAGCCAGACAATTTCAAGTCATTTATGTATACAATGAAGAGCAGTGGTGCAAGTACTGAGCCTTGTGCCGCACCTATATTCACGGAATATTGAGTTGACGTATGACCATTGACCTTCGTTTTCAATTTTCTATGTGTGAGGAAAGACTGGATCCAGCTGAGAATAAAATCCCTTATACCCAAGCAGTACAATTTTTCCACGATGAACGAAATATCCATTATATCGAATGCTTTCGAAAGGTCAAAAAATAGTCCAGCAACGTATTTCCATATCAGGCGTGACTTCCATGCGGTAGGAAGCTACCGTTGTAATTTATATAATTGAGAAATATCATGGCCATTATGATATTGTTTTGTGATCAGTATCGAGACACCTAATTAACATAATGAATAGACAGTAGAGTTGTGCATTGCATGAGTCTGTAGAATATGGAAGGTACTCAAAAGGTTTTTCTTAAAAATAGGCTTAGCCCCGACAACCCAGTTCTAGCGACCGTATCTGTCGCCAAGGAAGAACAACTCCCCTGTCGTTACGCCACCAAGTAAAGTGGCTTTGAAATTATCCTGACATTGAAGCCCATGTTAAGTTGTGTATGTACCACTCTCGCAATAAAAGTGAAAAGGTACAGGGTACAGGGTAGTACTTCGAAACCTTTTAAGATGGGTTTGTGGTTTTCACGTTTATCGTTATATTCCATTATTATCATATCTCATTCGTATCCTACACAAATAAGATTTTTAGGTATTTATGAGACCTACAGAATGAGATTACACGTAAGAAGATCCCACTAATAGTAAAAAAGTTATGACCGGAAATCGAGGCAAACTGCAGGCTTTGGCACTTGTTGCTAATGCGACGATAATTTTACGCAGCTATGATTAGACTGTAACCCCAAAAGATGATTTAAAACTTCTTTATATGTGAATGGCACAGTTTTCGTTGATTCCTGAAATTTAAATTGTATGACTTGCAACGTTTTCGAAATGATCGAGTCAATTCTAATATCTAGCATTCTTTTGGAACGTTTGCTGGAACAAACCTTATATCAGACCTGTCTTTATATGAATAGGATAGCGTTAATAGTATTCACTAGGGTGCATCTTCTCGAATATCGACAATTTGTTTTCCATATATAGCCCATAAAGCTGAATTTTATACCACAGCAGCTTTTTATGCTTTTGAGTCATCACTGTCTTAATGAAAAATTTTATATGTTTGAGATGGCAACAATTACCAAAGTTACTGCCTAAACTGGAATATCCAATGATATAGAGTTTATGGCTTGTAGTTAAGAGGATTAACATAAGCATATAAATGTACCAAATTAGCAAGTCTCAAGTGATTTATGTACTTATCTTGTCTGGCTGAAAATGATGGACATACAATAAATTCTATTTTAAATCATTATTTATCTTTTACTCACTGGAAGGCTAGGTCGGAGAAGTTAAATTAGGTATAGTTAATTATCCGGATTATACCATCAACTTTTTTGGACTAGTTTTTTTATCCCACCGTTCCCCTAACTCACTCAAATAATACAAATTGAGTACTTCTGTTAAAATTTAATAAAACCAACTGAGAAAATTACGAGAAATTTGTATTTCCTAAACATGCGGCAAAGCTTCGAGACGTGAATTCCTGGACGATTATTAGATGATACGTCCTTATGTGTTCTTCGAAAGACAAGTGTTTCAAATTTTCAATCAGTTTCTCAAGCTTCAAAAACACTATAAAAAGTCAAGGTACCTAAAAGGGGATACTCGCAACTAAAATATGCCTACTCAGAAGCTTTAAACAAAAATGTACACAACATGGTACAAATAATGCATTGGGACTTTTAAAGACAAATATCTCGAAAACTATTAGATTTGGACACTTCTAACAACTAAGCCTTTTTTGTTGTGTAAATACGAGAAAATAAGATGTTTCGGTTAGTTGTTGTATACAGCGTAGCACAAAAAAGTTATGATAAGTTATTTATCGAAATAGTGCTGTAAGTGGCGCCCTCTAGAAATTTGGCCATAAAAAATAACGGATTCTTGTTTCTCATACTAGGAAACCTCCCTATACCGGGGTTTATGTCAAAATCTGAAATACTTCTCAAGCAATAAGGAAAAATAGAAATTAAAATTGTAACTTTGACACCCTGCATCTCGCAAACCTTGAACTTTTGGACTGAGGTATGTTTAGGTCAATTCACATATTTTTGTCTGTAGTATCTCCAGTTTCAAGATTTCGCAACCTTTCGCAGTACACGTATATAAGATTTTGCGTTGACACTGTATACTTGAAACAGTCATTGTCAATAGTTTTTATGGACATAATTGCATCATGTATTTTTTTCCTAATAAAAACAACAAGATAATTCTAGAGTGGTCTAAAGGACTCTCCTGAACGTTTTTTTCATGCATGGAGGTATTCAGACAAAAATTCTGAAGGGGACTCACACATCAAAAATGGTATGCCTTCATAAAAAAGTTTTATAATCCTGATGGTTTGCACAAAATGGCGGGTAGAACACAAAAACGACTCATAAAAAATCGTCAACAATTTGATCGATCATGCTTTGATAACAGGAAATGTTGCCGCAGGTTTTTAGTTACTGGACATACCAAAGCGGCAAAATATCAGATATCTGTTTTAAATAATTTGATACGATTGCGATTGCACCAGTTCTACATCCAGTATTTCTGGCTGAGATTCAAATATTAAATTTCCAGTTACATATTGGTACAGATTTATTAAGAAACATACTATTGCTGTTTGAATACGTCCTTGCTTTGGAAAAACATGTATTTTAGTAATGAGGACTTCCGCATTCATAGAGTGCAGGAGGTCTGAATATCTTTGGAGAACACACGTTTTCATAAAATATATTGTAATTAGGTTTATTCTTTATTTACAGTGAGTACAGTCGATGGATCCCAAGACACAATAACGAGGTACATCTGCCCAAAAAACTTCCACCTGGTAGGAAAGCAATGCTACCACTTCAGCGATTATGTGGAGCAGTGGGCTTTTTCTCACTTCTACTGCCAACTATTGAACAGCTCCTTGGTAAAAATTGAAACCAACAGAGAACAGAAGCTACTTAGAGACTTCGTTAGTTTTCATAACCAGCCAGGTAAATTTTAGCAGTAATCAACTATAGATTGATAAGACATACTTATAGGATGATTTACTATTTACAAAAATACAAGGATATTACAAACTACTACAGGTAGACATAGATGTTATGGAAAAATGGAAAATATTTAAGACTAGCAATACAAACAAAATTCAACTTTAGATACATCAGGCGTTGTATGCCAATAGCATTTAAAAATAAAACAGCGTTAATAATTTGTTTGTGGGATGTCCCATCTTTTATATTAGGGGACACCGGGGCTGGTTGTCACATGGTTGGTTTCACAATTGTTAAATCTCAGCAGCTCCGCAAGATATAGTTGCCTGGCAATTTCTGCATCCGCGCAGAACACTTGTATTCAGTACGAAAATTGTCGCTGGTAGATTAAGGTCGCACACACAAAAATAAACAAATCGCCTAACCTTTCGTTTGCCACATAATTTGTGTTTTCAAGACTACATTTGATAATAAAAAGAACTGTTGAATTTATTTTGCTCTTCAATAATCCGAATACGACTTAACGTAAGTATTGACTTTGAATTTGTTAATTTAGTGACGCTATCTAACCTTAAAAATTAATTATCTAGTGGGGCAGGTTGTCTCAAATTAGCGGGGGCCTCTTGTCACATGGGATAACCAGCCCCCACACTAGACGATTAGCTTTGCACATCATTCTATGTAGGCATATGTATATAATGTATTTTTTTAATATATATTCAAAAGGAAGACTGAGAAGATTAGGATCCTCAATAAGAAAAGCGGCAGCTGACTTCAATGTAATTTACCGTACTTTAGCAAGATACTGTAAGAAAATTCCAGAGTCTGAATTACTTGATGATCGAGTTCTTGCGCCGTCAATTTCAGTTGGCTACATCAAAAATCATTTAGGATCTGCGCCTGAACTTGAAAATCATCTAGTGGAATATGTACTCAAAGCATCTGATATTTATTTTGGATTATCACCCAAGGAAGTACGTGGACTGGCATATGAATTTGCTAATGCTAATTCCTTGAAAATGCCGCAAAACTGGAGCTCCATAAAATAGCTGGTCCTGACTGGTTTAGTGCGTTTCTAAAACGTCATCCTGTACTGTCTATTCGCAAACCGGAAGCAACTAGTTTAGCAAGAGCCAGTAGTTTCAATAAAACGAATGTCAACGCATTTTTTGATAATTTAGCTTCAGTTATGAAAAAAAAATAAATTTGAGCCTCACGAAATCTGGAACATGGACGAAACTGGGATTACAACTATCCAAAGACCCGACCGCGTTGTTGCCAGAAGAGGATTCAAACAGGTTGGTTCGATAGTTTCATCAGAAAGAGGAACTCTTGTTACTTTAGCAAGTGCAGTATCAGCTATTGGAAATTCCATACCTCCTTTTTTCATTTTTCCACGGGTACATTTCAAACCACATTTTTCAAATTCGGCTCCTCCTGGCTCACAAGGTTAGGCAAACGCATCAGGTTGGATGAAAGACTCACATTTCTTGGAGTTTCTTAGATTTTTTCACATGTGAAAAGTACTGTGGTAAGACCGTGCCTGCTTTTACTAGATAACCATGGATCACATCTGAGTATAGAAGGACTGAATTTTGCCAAAGCAAATGGTATTGTCATGCTCTCTTTTTACATTCACTGTTCACATAAACTTCAACCTCTTGACCGCGCCGTTTTCGGCCCTTTTAAGACATATGTAAATACTTCCTGCGATGCTTGGGTTTTAAATAATCCCGGTAAGACCATGACTATATACGACATACCTTCAGTGGTCTCTATTGCATACCCCCTCGCATTTACTCCCAAAAATATACAGTCTGTATTTCGGGTGTCGGGTGTGTTTCCTTACAACAGAGATATTTTCACGGATGATGACTTTCTTGCGAGCTCTGTCAGTGATAGGCCAGATCAGGGTATCTTGAACGAAGCAATAACTGGATCAAACCCGGAAACCTTAAACCAAAAGGAAGTTGGGCCAAATCCAACCATCTTGAATGAAGATGAAACTGTAAGTCTGATAAATATTAACACGCAGGAAGCAATAGATAATATACCAGAGAGCGAAACAGCTAATCAAACTAGTTTTGATGATCCCTGCTGTAGTAGTTTAGTAAGGCTGCATACAGGAAATATAGTACTTCCAGAAAGTTTAAGACCTTATCCAATGGCATCGGCAAGAAAATGAATCGAGTTTCCCGTCGTAAATGAGGGAGTGCAATACTCACTGACACTCCAGTAAAAGACGAATTAGAGAAAGAGAAAAATAAATGCTGGAACAAGAAAAAGAGGAACAGGGAAACAGTGAAAAGAGACGTTTTTGATTCAGAAAAAAAAATTAAGAAATCTAAAAAAATTGAAAAACGCAAGTCCTGTTCAGATAATGAAACTAATGGAGAAGAATTTTTTTGCTTGATTTTTCTTGAACCATTTTCTAACAGCGCACCAAATGAAGAATGGGTGAAATGCTCATCGTGTAATGGTTGGTCTCATGATGATCGCGAACTTAACATCCATATCTGCGATAGTGACTAATTGTAAACTTCTACTTTTTTCTCAAAGATTTGGTGTTTAATAAGCATTTTTTGTAATAATAAATATGTTTAAAAGTATGATATCATAATTTATTAATGATCTAAAACACACGTGACAACCAATCCCAAGCAAAGTGACATCCAGCCCCACAAGGGGCAAGTTGTCACACTTGTTTCTGTATTTTGAAACATTTTAATTTAATATTGTGAATTATTTTACAGCCTTATCGATTTTACATAGTGTTCCCAAAGCATAAACCATATTATTTATGCACCAAATATGTGCATATAATGCTTCAGATCGAATAAAAAAAGAATTACTGAAAATTGCGACAACTAGCCCCGGTCTCCCCTACATTCCGATAAGCCCTTCCAAAGGAATATTGACATAACATTCGCTAGCTTTCTGAAGACTCAAAGTTATAATTGAGTCTAGTCAGTATACACACTTTTGTTCTTTGTGCACCAAAATGAAGCCTACACCATGTTTGCCCCTACTGAGCGAGGGCCGTGGCAAATGCTTGTTCCGGAAGTTGTTGCATCCAGTATACAACTTCTTCCCGTCCAAGTGATTGTGCACGCGTTAAGGAATTCCTCAGTACCGATTGCCGGGTGGCGGTACAAGTCCGCCAACGGGCCACTTTAGGTCTATTTAACATCACTAACACGTAAAAAGAAGGTGGTAGACAAGGACCAGTCGACCGAGGCAGTACCACCCGCTAGCTTTTCCCAGGGTGTCTTATAAATGTCCGCATGTTTCCACACCTAAGCTATGCAGTCGGTTATCTACCAAAACAAAGAAATTAATGATGATGGATCCCTCGAGCACTAAAAACTCCGGACGTAAACTCACTCCACTCTCGGAATGTCCGGGTGGAGGGTGGGCTCGAGGGAACAACATCGAAGATAAAATTTGTTTTTCGAACATCTGCGGGATCAACAGCAACATTGATGCTGTTCATCACTACCTGCAATCCAATCGTCCCGCCGTGCTTTTCTTGGCGGAGACAAAAATCTCAGAGACTGCACCGATTAACCATCTCAACTTCCCAAACTACGAGGTGCACTCCAATCTGAGAAAGAACGGGGGAGTTGTGGCTTTTGTCCGCAGCAGTCTTTCCTGCTCCAGGGATCTTTCTTTGCAATCAGACCGGAAGGACATTCTGTGGCTTCGCCTCAACTCCAAAACATCACCCAAATTTATTTGCTGCCTTTATCGCTCTCCCTCGAACCATAACTGGGATGACCTACTCGAATATCTCGCCGTCCAGATCGACTTCCTGAACATCAATCACCCCGCTTCAGAGGTAGTTCTTCTCGGTGATTTCAATGCCCATAATGAGCTTTGGTTGGGCTCAAATAAGACCGATGCAGCAGGTCGTGCAGTCGAAGCGTTCGCTCTTACTCAAGGGCTGACCCAGCTGGTGACGAGCCCTACTTTTTTCCCCCGCGTCTCGTCACACGCCAGTAGCCTGCTAGATCTCTTTCTGACCACGCATCCTGCCCCTTACAGCACTGCTGTCCTGTCCCCCCTGGGTAATTCAGATCACGGTGTTGTGGAGGTTAGGTTTCGGTCAGAAGCCGCTGTGGCAGCAGAAACTCGCACAGGCCGCAAAACTTGGCATTACGGACATGCCGACTGGGAGGGGCTCAGAGACTTCTTCTCTAGCTTTCCTTGGAGAGATGTCTGTTTCACTGACGCGGATGCATCGACTGTCTGTTCTTCAATAACCGAAATTATCCACGTCGGAATGGAGGAATACATCCCTCACACAGTGAAAGTTCCTAAACCAGGGTCCAACGGCTGGTTCAACAAATCGTGTGACACTGCTCGCCAGCAGAAGATCAAGGCCCACAGAACCTACTTACAAAACCCCACTGTAGAGAATAGACAAGCCGACGTCGAGTCCAGAAACAAATATAACGAAGCGGTTCGCAATGCCAAAAACCATCATGATATAAAAGTTAGGCACAGGGTAATGTCGCAGTGCAATGGCAGTCGGTCTTTCTGGACGCTGGCCAAGCAGATTGAAAAGAACTTCTCACACAGTAGCCTTTCACCACTTACGTGTCAGGATGGAACTATTGTATTCGACTCAAAGGCCAAGGCGGAAGTGCTAGCCAAGATCTTTGCTGCCAACTCCACCATGGACGTCCCTACCAACGCCCAAGTGCCGTCAATTCAAAGGGTTCCCCACACTATGCGGGAAGTAACATTCAGGCATAAGACCGTAAGACGAGTGCTCTTGTCGCTCGACATCAACAAAGCTTCTGGTCCGGACTTGATTCCTGCCATTGTACTGAAGAGATGTGCAGCGGAGCTTGCTCCAGTTCTTTCGCGTCTCTTCCAGATATCTTATGAATACGGCACCTTCCCAGAAAACTGGAAATTTGCTCATGTACAGCCCATCCCAAAAAAAGGATCTAAAACCGACCCTTACAACTACAGGCCTATAGCTCTGCTTTCTGTTATAAGTAAAGTGATGGAGAGGTGCATAAATCGCGAGCTTCTGGACTACCTCGAACGTCACAGCATGATTAGCGACAGGCAGTACGGTTTCCGGCACCAACGATCCACAGGGGACCTCCTAGCTTACGTCACGCAACTGTGGAGTAAACTCATCCAGTCTCATGGTGAGGCTCATGTCGTTGCTCTTGACATCACGAAAGCGTTCGATCAGCTGTGGCACGCTGCCCTCTTAAGCAAACTTCCATCCTACGGCCTCCCAGAAAAGCTTTGCAGATGGGTGGCTGACTTTATCTCTGGCCGCAAGATATCCGTCGTAATTGACGGATTCTCCTCTTCATCCCACAACGTCAACGCGGGTGTTCCCCAGGGATCGGTCTTGGCTCCAACACTGTTTCTCTTACATATCAACGACCTCCTTTCCTGCACGATCAACCCAATCCACAGCTTCGCTGATGACAGCACTCTACATGCAGGAATTCAGAGTGACAAGCCGATCTCTGCCGCTGAGCTGGAAAAAAGAAGACTAGCGACGACTTCTTCTCTGACAAGAGACCTGGAGGCTATCACTGCTTGGGGACGCAACAATCTTGTACAGTTCAATGCCTCCAAAACACAGTACTGTACCTTGACGAACAAAAAGCGTCCTAGCGCTCATACAGTTTCGATGGACGGTCGAGTTCTACCAAAGAGCCATTCATTTCGGCTGGTCGGAGTCCAGATCACCGAGGACCTGATCTGGCACGAACACATCTCTTCAATAGCTGCAGCTGCTGGGAAAAAGCTAGGCTATTTGTTTAGGGCTAAGAAGTACTTTTCTCCGCATGACCTTCTCACTCTATACAAGGCCCAGATAAGGCCTAGCCTCGAGTATTGCTCACACATTTGGGGTGCTGCCGCCCCGACTACATTGTCCATGCTCGATGCTGTCCAGAGGAGGGCGGTCCGACTGATCGATGACTCTTCTCTAACAGACAGTCTCGGGACTCTTTCGCACCGGCGGGCCGTCGGCGATCTAGCTCTTTTCTATCGCTACACCAACGCGCTTTGCTCCTCAGAGCTCTCTTCCATGATGCCGCCGCGCGATGCGCCTGCCAGACAGACCCGCCTGACTTCGGCATCCCATCCTAACCGTGTTAAACTTCGTACATCCAGAACTGACCGATACGACCGCTCCTTTGTCCCGAGGGTGTCTAGATTGTGGAACAATCTACGGGAGGAAGCTTTTCCCAGTTCTACTAACCTTAGGCAGTTCAAAAATCGTATTAACAAAATTTCTTTGGGATTATCATAGCAGCCGCGGTGTTCCGGCATTTAGGCTTCTGCCTGCGCGGCTGTTTCGATATAAAAAAAAAAAAAAAAAAAAAAAAAACACTGGTAACCCGGTTGTGCTGTCTTATTTTGTCAGATCTTGTAGTCTGAATAGAGTAACCATGACTAACCGGAGATCTACTTGCGCACAACATTTTAAGTTTTTTAAAAGTCCGTAACCACTTGTTTGCTTTCCATCTGACTGTCTCAAGGGCTAGACCTGTACCGCACTGATGAGTGACAAATAGCTCGAAACAGTGCTGTCTATGGTTGGTCGTGGTTACAAAGTCGGAAAGAAAACATATCCAGTTCGAGTATTTATGATCGTGTCGCTTTCGATGTCTGTTATGTGCAAAGCGTATAGTTTTATAGGAGGCGCATATCTTTTTTTTCAATATGAGCGATTGTCCTAAGGGGTAAAATTTGCTCTTAGCATGATAGATATACATATAAATAAGCATGATGGATATACATATAACTAAGTAAGATCCGGCCTTATCTCATTTTTTGCGAAATGTGCACTTTCGGAGACGCCGAATACTGTTATGTTTTAATTTCCGACCCCTTTTAAATTTCTCTGAGATCACACTTCTTGAGTTAAATACGCATTCTACGCATACTTGAAGTAATGAATAAAACATTTTTGCTTGTATTGCTAATTTATGTCATGTATCAACATAATTACAAGTGACATACCTCATTCGCTGAGTGTAATTTAAGAGGCTGGCTAACGAGCTGGGCTCCAAGATGGATTTATCCGTTTAGAATTAGACAGGTCAACTGTCATTGGATGAAAGAGAACCTTATTCGGTATGACGGAGTAATGTTTCATAATTTTCTAGAATGAGATTCATACAGAATAGATTTCCATTAATATACGAACAATGTTTTTTTATACCGAAGCAGCAACGCAGGCAGGAGCCTAAATACAAGGGCAATGCAACTGCTACGAGGAGCTTAAAGGAAGTATGTTAATTTGGTTTATGGACTGTTTAAGCTTAATAGAACCGGGAAAAGCCTCCTAGGGTATATTTTTCCACAATCTCGACACCCTAAGGACAAAGGAGCTGTCGTATCGGCAAGTTCTGGATGTACGAAGTTTGACGCGGTTAGGATGGAAGGCCGAATCCGGGCGAGTCTGTCTGACAGGTACATTCGCGCGGCAACATCATGGAGCCGAGCTCGTTGGCGTAGCGGTAGTTGAGAGCTAGATCGACAACTGCCCGTCAGTGAGAAAGGGTTCCAAGGCTGTCCGTTAAATAAGAGACATCGATCAGTCGGATAGCCCTCCTCTGAAAAGCAACGAGCATGGATAATATAGTCGAGGCTTCAGCACCCCAAACATGTGAGCAGTACTCGAATCTAGGTCTTGTACAGAGTGAGGAGGACATATGGAGAAAAGTGCTTCTTAGCCCTAAACAAATAATTTAGCTTTTTGTCAGCAGCTGCCGCTATTGACGAGATGTGTGCGGTAGGGAGTCGCTGCCAGTCTTCTATCTCCACTTCACCGGCAGAGATTGGCTTGGCACTCTGAATCCCTGCATGAATAGTGCTATCGTCAGAAAAGCTAGGGATGGGATTGATCGTACAGGAAAGGAGGTCGTTGATATGTTGAGCATCAATGTCGGAATCAAGACCGATCCCTGGGGAACAGCCGCGTTGACATTGATGAAGAGGCGAACCCGTCAATTACGACGGACATCTTGCGGCCATCTGCACAGCTTCTATGGAAGGCTTATAGGACGGAAGTTTGCATAAAAGGGCAGCATGCCACAGCTGATTGAATGCTTTCGTGATATCCAGATCAAAGACATGCGCTTCACCTTAAGTCTTCATCCATTGAAGCCTTAGATAGGGCGTTGCGACCTCTTTTCGTATAATAGATGGTCTGCATTTTCTAACGGTCAGGAACGTTATTTTTTTTCCACACATTTGACGGCGAAAGTAGGGTCATATTCTAAGAATATATATTACGACACGCTATAAATTGCTACGGCTGAGCAAAACCTTTATTTGAGCCTTCTCGTTTGCAGTAAAAGGTGAGAACACTCGGCTTATACTTTTTAGAGAGAAAATATTATTCCTCAAAAATAACATATCCTAGTCGAAAGATAGTCCACGTATTTTGGGATGTCACGTATTATGTGTGAACGATGCATTTTATGCACATGATCCTCACATTGATGAAATATCTTGAGCCAATCATGATGTCTTATTGTTTTCAGCATTCAACAAGAGCGAAAGATGGATAGACGGCACGTACGACTGGAAACAGGGCAAATGGAAATGGGGTTCTACTGGGGAACTTGTGATGGACACACCCTTCACCAAGAGAAATATTGGAGAAGACTTCAAATGGAGTTGCATAGCGCTAGACGGAAACAGAAAGAACAAGTTAGTTGTCTTCTTAGGTAGAACATTATTTGATGTTTGTTTCTATTCAGAACTTGTAAATTAATTGAAATAATCATGATGAACCAAAAGACATAAATTTGTCAAAGTATTATATTCGACTAAGGCGACGAGTATGTATAGATGTTGTTCTAAAGTTCTGTGGGACATATTCAACTATGAGTATTAATAGCAGACATCACTACCGGAAGTCAGTAGTTTCCGTCGTGAACAGAGCGAGTTGAATCTACCAATTTTAGACATAAATTGAAGATTGTCATTTTTTTCATGAATCAAAAGGTATTCCATCTATCTGTTGACTTTTCCATAAAAAATGATGTAAGGGACTAATGTCTTGACGTCCTTCACCTTTATTCTTCTAATTATTATTTTTGCACCCAAATTGTATGATGGATATTCCGGCAAACAATCCCTACAATATTGTGTAGAATATCCTTCAAACGTTAGAAGATCATTTCTCAGTTACTGATAGATTTTTTAAGCATTCGATGTTATGTGCCAACAAATTATTAGTCCAATAACTAATTTTTTAATTTCGTACCTCCCACATACATGACATTTCAAAGAATCGCAATTAATTCAAATTAAGTATGGCCCGTGTCAGTCACAGAGACACCGTTCCAAGCAAATGAAGCAAATCATGTCAATAGAATATAGCAATGATATGATAGTCATAAGTCATTTCAAAATAGACGCTTACGTCTATCTAATAAACATTGCAAATCATTTCATGTAGTACAATATGTGCATCGATATAAATAATCTAGTATCTCATATCATTTTTCAAGATAAATCGTAAAATCAATTAATTCATTTTCATCAAAGACTTCAAATAACGTAGTTGTAAAAGATTTTACGACAATTTTTTTCTGTTTCATTTCTAAACCGATTTGTTATTTATTTAGCTGACGGAAGATTAAAACATTGTACTAGAATGGTAGTAACGAAGAAGAAAATAATTGTCGATGAATTATTACAATTATTTTTTGGTAGGTCTGAATACATTAGTTGTAAGAAGACGGCTCTTAGTGACTGAACTTTGAACTTAACTGACCTCCTCATGAATGTTAGGATGCCTACCCATTCCGCTAGGTGTGCCTCCTCGGCACAAAGACCAAGATTTTGAGGATTTTTCTATAGGTTCCAATGCTATGAGTTTTAGTAGTAACATATGATTTTTCAGGTGGAGTGCAAGAAAATGCATAGAGAAAAAACCATTCATATGTGAAACTCCGTCAAACATATACGTAGAGTTTAGACTTTACGACAAAAAGAAGAAGAAATTTAATATCACAAAGTGTACCAGTGGAAAGCCATTGAGTATCCAAGAAGAAAGGAAATGTACGAAATTACTCGGAACCCCTGGTAACAACGAACCTGCAAATCTAGGTATGTCATGTGAACTTTACAGATTTCACTCATCATTAGCATGTTCGAACCTGCCTGTTGCTTAAGTCAGTAGACTACACAGTACACCATGTTCGTAAGTACACAAGGCAGCACTGTGAACAAAATCATTGATTCAAATTTCTCAAATCCTAGCTTAAAAAGACCTACTGACAAAACATTAACCAGTAGCATACAAATGACAAATAGAAAAGTCCTTCTGCATGGTTTAATTGTGGTATGTTTTAATTTTATTTCTATTTTATTTCTATCAGTTTGTAGAATTAAAATGTTGATCTATGAATGGCAGCCTTATCAGCATATATTCCATAACATCCGATTTTTTCAGTCTCGCTTTCCAACATTCTTGGAAAACACATCGATTTCGTCTAAAATTCGATATCTGTCATATGCCTAATCTGCACAACTTCCTTGTATTTGATATATTTTGTAAGATGACTGTAAAAGTATATAGTTCAAGGCGTCTGTTTACTATATAACAAGGCTTATTTGATAGTGATAAGTTTGTTTGTCATTAGCTGCAATCTTTGTTGCTTGTTTTCTTGGCGCGTGATATTATTTATGGGGAGCAAATGCAATTAATTCCTAGTTAAGTGATTAATAATTCTAATTCTTTTTCAACTATCTAAATTGTGTACCAAAATTATAGCTGATATCGTTAGTGCTGTTTGGTTGAGATCCGTAGCGATCTCGGGACGGGCGTTTTTTATAGGTGTGGAATTTAATGGAAACTAAAGCGGACCGCTGAGATAATGCCATTGCTGGGAGAGCACAATTTATCACAAACACACAGAAGATGTCTATAATAATTGTTTTTGAAACTGTTCACGGTTGTAGAATTCACTACATAAGATGGAAGACTGTTCCATGCTTCGAAAATTTGGTTCGCTAGAAAGCGTTGACGGGTAGAAATTCTAAAAGGTTCTTCCCGCAACTTCAAGTTGTGGCCTCTGGGTTTATTCGATGGCAGACGGAACAGGTGCGATATGTCAGCATGTATTATGCAGTGCCATAAAAGTGATGATGAGATCGCCTCACATGCTACTGGCGTCAAAAGTAGGCAGTTTGAAGGGTTCAAGAGGGTCTTCATAAGCTCGTCTACGAGTACCATATGGGATACGTGCACGAAGCTGAACGGTATCGAATAAGGATAAGGATCTCTTCAACGCATACAGTGGCCGCTTGGCCTCCGAAGTGAGGTTCTACATGTTTGTGTTCCGACCAAGAACTGTCTGGATGGTATGATCGCCAGTATTGTACTCAGACTTATGATTATTTTGCCTAGGTGAAGGACTACTTTTCATATATAAGGTATAACTTGACGATCGTTCACTCCTAAAATTTACACTACCTCTGACTTATCGAGATAGATTAGTGATTTCACTTCCCAGCAGGAACAGATCCTTTGTTGTAGGTACAGATAATTTTTTAGATAATACCTACTCTCAGACTTATCATGAAATGTGATGCAGCCATGAAATTTTCTCTCATCAAATTTTGAACCATAAAGTCGCTAATCATCATTTTGTAATGGAGAGCCATTCCACGTAATATTTTGGCCAGCATCATTCTTAATGAAATTGGCCAAATAAATTCGTTTCTAACATCATGTGCCCATAGAAGACGTCGTGTTACCAAATGCTCCAGAGACTGTGCCAAACTCACCTGTCTTACCCCTACCGGCTGCAAATATTTATGTTGAATAGAAGAAGATCAATTCCTTGAACAATATGACTAAATATAAATAGAGTACTTCGTACTTACATACTTCTCAAAAGCAGGTTTTGTACTTTTACGGTATCCAGTTTGGAGCAGGTTTTTACCTTTTGTATAAGTGTCAATTATACATTAAAATATTTCATGGTTACTAGTCAATGTAGGAAATGCATAAAGGCTACATAAACATGAATTTCATAATAAATAATCCTAGATAATGTGATGTTTATGTTTTCAATTTTTATGGCTTGCAATATGCTATGCGTTGATTTTACGCGCCAGGTTTTGTATATTTTTTTCTTTGAAATCGCAGATGCTACCTTGACTTTGTTTAATGTACTGTATGTGTATGTTTCTCTGTGTTTGCTTCCATTTTGCAAATATTTCCTATGATTTCATGTAATGGACTTTAAAACAGTTATGTTTGTTCAACTACTATCAATAAATTGTTTCTTCTAATGAGATTCGCTCTATTATTGCAGAATATATGTGTTCAAACTACTGTCCTAGCTCCATATTTTCTGTCAGTTAAATGAAACTATATCACCACAGATAAAAAAAATATACTGGTAACACATTTTTCCTCTACTAAGCCCAAAAAACACCATTATTAATGGCAATACCTTATTGAGAGGTAACATTTTTCTCTCTGGGCAAATAATACTGCATTTGCTTTGTTCATGGATTCAAAATGCGAGAAATAGTACATCATCACCTGAAGGGCACCATGTTGTTTGTATTGTGAGGAAAGAAATAAGACACAACAGTCGCCAAATAAAAACATCTGCCCATTTGGGAACCAATAAAAACTTGGTGCGATTAGGTAGCCAGGCATATCTACCCAATGCTTTTGAAAACTTTGTGGAAAATAAACAATTACAGGAATGGTCCATATTTTCATCATTTTGTGTTCATCATTAGACTTCGGCGTGTAGTTTTCGCTTAAGTCTCTTTTTAAAATTAAATGGTGTGAAATTTTGGAATGTGAGAGGAAGAATCATTATATAATTCAATAGCGTTATAACTGAACGATTTTTTGTGGATAGCTTTTGTAAGGGTATCCTAAGATATTTCTATTCCTTGTAAATACGAAATAGTTTATTTATGTCGTTACATCGTGCTAACTTTTTGTGCAAATATCGTGGTTGTTTGGTGGCTAACAGTTTATGTGTTTTGTGTTTATGTGGAGTTCTTGCATACCTTTAATCTGCAGAATACCAAGCTCCTTAAATTTATGAGAAATCTAGTATTGTAGCGTTTTTCTGGGTTCTTTTGGGTGTGGATTAACACACTGGATTCCACAAAAAGAAAGGCACTAATTTATTTAACTTGATAGAACATTGATGTACACCACTATTTATGTCTGACTTATTCCTATGTCGCGATTGACTGCACTATACTCCACTCCGCTCTGCTCTGGTGTAATCTGTACACTGCCTCCATCTTTTTTTTTGTGAGGGGGGAATGCGTTTACGCACCATACCATAGCCCGAGCTACGGTATGTGTGGGACTCCAGGTTGTCTTGAGGAGACCACCTAATACCCACTAAACCCTAACCTCCGCGTGGCCCGACTCATCAGCGTCTCGGTAGGCCATGTGTTGTGCGTGACCTGCGGTCTGCTACAACGTCTCCTCATGTGTTTCAGTCTCTGGGAACGCCGGGTTGGTTCCCTTTACCTCGCACATTCTATCGATGTCGTTAAGCGATCATCGATAGAGGGTCTGCTAGGTTCTCTTGAAACTCTTGTTTTCGAAAAATCAAGAGTTTCAAGTCCTCTTACCAATATGTTGTTCCTGGTCCTGGTCCTGAAGGGTCCTGGTCGTGGCGGGTCCTGGTCGTGGCGGGTCCTGGTCCTGTCGGGTCCTGGTCCTGGTGGGTACTGGTCCCGGTGGTTCCTGGTCCTCTGCATCCACGCCGTGGGGGGGGGGAGCAACCGCGGGTTCTCCTAGTCTCCTAGTCAAGGTTCCAGTTAGCGGTTGCCAACTGAGACCTTGGTCTAGGGTACCTGGTTCCGCGGTTGCGAGGCTTCTCGTCCGGATCGTAGTCCATGAGGAATCTTAGCTGCTCATTCGGGTGGTCCTGAGCTTTCTGGAAGGTCTTCTCCGCTTTTTTCCTCATGTACTCGTGAATGGTGTCCCAGTGCAGGTCCCTACGCAAGGTTGAGTTTCTTACGTAGGATGGTGCACTGGTGGCGATCCGGAGTAGCTTCATCTCTAGAGCAGCAAGTCGCTTGCGGTAGCTGGGGGCAGCGTACCCCCAGACCGCGGAGGCGTAAGCGAGCTGAGGTCTGGCGATGGCCTTGATCAGCCGTAGCTTGGTCGCTAGCGGCATCCGGCTATGTCTACCCAGTAATGGGTAGAGTTGAGCCATGGCTGCTCTGGTCTTTGCGATGACAGCTTCTATGTGGTCTTTCCAGGTGTCAAATACGATCCCCAGATATTTGACTTTGTCGCTCCACTGGATATCTTCGTCGAAGATGGATGCTTCGAGAGGTCTTGCAATCCTTCTTTGTTGGATGAAGATTGCCTGCGTCTTCTGGACGTTGATGCGGATTTTCCATTTCACGCACCAGTCCTGGATGTGGTCCAGTTCATCCTGTATTCTCCTACGTATGATCTCGGGTCGTCGATGCTTGGCGGCTATAGCAGTGTCGTCTGCATATAGGGCCAGCATTGTGTCAGCTGTCTTCGGTACATCGTGAGTATAGATGTTGTAGACCAGAGGGGCTAAGGCTGACCCCTGGGGCACGCCTGCTTCCAGCTGTTGTCTTGTTGAATGGCATGTACCAATCTTCACCGTGAACCATCTTTGTGTTAGATAGCTCTGGATCAGTTGGCACATGTTTGCATCGATTCCGGCGGCTTCCATTTTGGCGATAAGTCCATCGTGCCAAACTCGATCGAAGGCTCGTTCCACGTCCAGCAGGACGAGGCCGGTTGCCTCCTGGAGATTGAAGCCGCTGGTGATGTTTTCTGTCAGTCGCAGCGCTTGGAGTTCCGTGTTGTGGGAGGATCTGAAGCCGAATTGCTCTGGGGGGAGAAGTTGCAGTTCTTCTGCCTGCTTCTCTAGTCGAACGGCGATAGCCTTTTCGACTACTTTGCCCATCGAGGAAACCAGGCTGATGGGCCGGTAGTTCTGGGGCAACTTCCGGTCCTTGCCTGGCTTGGTGAGCATTATAACCTGGGCTTCCCGCCACCGCCGCGGGAAGTGGTCAAGTCTCAGAGTGGCATTGGCGATGTTGGTGAGCGCAGCAATGCCTTTGGAGGGAAGGTTCTTCAGCATCCTGTTGTTGATGCCGTCCCTTCCCGGCGCCTTTCTGACCTTCAACCTGCGGATGATCAGACGGATTTCCTCTGGACTGGAGGGGTGATCCGTCTCCTGGCCAGGTGGTCGACTCCTCATGATTTCGGCTGCGACTTCCACGGCCTCCTCATGGTTGTCATCCTCGTCTTCATGGTAATTGAGTCTGCATTCGGATTCTAGCGAATCGGCGAATGCTTCGGCTTTTTCTTCACTGGAGTAGGCCAAGCCGCGTTGGCCGTGAAGAGTGGGGATCGTGGTGCGCTGACGACGAAACTTTCGCTGCATAGTCCAGGCCGTAGCATCCTGGGTCTCTAGTTCTGCACAAGCTGCATTCCATCTGCTGTTTTGGAGTTCCGCGAGTGCGTTCTTCAGAGCTAGCGATGCTCTGTTTCGCGCAACTCTTGACTCCTCTGTCAACAGCTGGAGATGTTCTCGCTTGAGTCTTCTGTTCTCCCTGATCAGGTGCCTAATATGGTGCGGTGCTGGACCATTTAGGTGTCTAGGAAGTGCCGTAGTCTCGGAGCGGGTGCTGTCCTCGTGCGCTCGCAGGACAACATTCTCCAGCTCCTCTACTGCGTTGTCCAGTTCCTCCGCTGATCGGATGGTTGGAATTTGAGTGATGTTCCTTTGGACGTTGGATTTGTACAGGTTCCAGTTCGTCCGTTTGGTGCTCAAGCTATCTCGAGTTCTAGACCCTGTGCCAAGTGTTAGTAGGATCGGATTGTGGTCCGACGATCCTTCCACCAGGGTCTCTATCTCGAACTCCTCTCTGATGTTGAGGAGGATGGCTATGTCCAGTACCGCAGGTCGCCCAAGGCCGAATGGAATGTCGGTTGGTTGCTCCGGACCGACGATGACCCCCGCCAGGGCATCGACGTGTTCTTGGAGCTGCCTTGCATTCCTGTCTTCGACGTTGTTGTTCCATGCCGGAGATTTGCAGTTTAGATCTCCGATGACTATGCGTGCTCCTGGGCCTCTCAGGAGGTCAGCGATGTCATCTTCGTCTAGGGCCTCCCCTGGTGGCACATATAGGGAGGTGATTCTGTAGGGACGGTGGTTGTGATGGACCTGGACCGTGATTCCGTCCCCATTGATGTCTGCGGCATCATCGAGGACATGACTCGTCAAGGTACGTTTGACGAGCAATGCGACTCCTCCACCTCTGCCTCTTCTGTCGTAGCGGTACGTCTCGTATCGCGGGAACGTCAGACTATGGGCAGCATCCAATTTCGTTTCTTGGATGGCCATCACCTCTGGTTGGTAGTGGTCTAGTATCTCCTGGATTTCTGGTTTCCGTGCCCTGAATCCGTTGATGTTCCAGGAGATAATGCGTAGAGATTCTACGTTTTGCCCTGTAGTCACTTCGGGTCTAATGCTTGTCTTGCATCTTGGTCTCGAGTGCATCCAGGCGGGTTATGATGGCTTGCATCATTGCTAGCAGTCTGTCATCGCCGTGTTGCTTCTGCGCAGTAGTTCCAGTAGCAGTGGCGGCTGCTGGGGCAGAAGTGGACATAGGTTTCTTTGCTTTTTGAGCGTAAGAGGTCCTATTTGTGGTGGGGACTGCTTTGGGGGCAGCAGCAGCTTTCCTCGGGGCCTTACTACATCCCTTGTAGTTGGCGGGGTGGCCTTCTCCACAAAGGCAACACTTGGCATTTCGTTGCCCTGTTGGCGGCGCTGGCAGACTGCAGCTGGTGCTGTTGTGATCCTCTCCACACTTCACGCACCGTTCAGCGAGACGGCAGTTCCGCTGTGTGTGCCCGTATCGCTGGCAGCGGTAACATTGGCTGGGCTCGGTGGACTTTTTCTTTCTCTCGAAGCTGACCGTGAGCATGGCCAGCCTCTGGATCTCTAGAAGCTTTTCCGGCATCTTCGTCTTGACGAGGAAGAGCGGAAGTGGCTTTTTGGTGGTCCTTGAGGTCATCTGCTGAACCTCGGCGTCTGCGATACCTTGGCTCACTAGATCCTCTTTGGTGTCATTGACTGACATCTCCCTGGGTAGTCCACGAATGACCTCTGGTCCGTCCTGTCCTCCTTCAGCTGATAGGTGAAGAAGGGCAGCTTGATGGAGTCCAGCAGTGCGACTAGCTGACGGTAGTCAGCTGGTGTGTTTGTGAACACCTTCACACTGTTACCCGCCGTCCTCGCCTTGGAGAATTGGATCCCCTTGTTGTTGATCATCCTGCTTAAGGATGACCAGTCAGCGGTGCCCTCGATGCTGATGGGGGGAACTCCTGTTCCCGACATGGGGGGCACGATGGTCCTGGCTGCTCTAGGACTCTGGCATCTTTGGCTGCCTTGGCGACTCGTCTTCGGAGGAGGAAACTCGCACCCGCTTCCTCCGTCTGGTGGCGACACTGAAATCGGTGTCGTCGTTTGCTTGTTGTCCCTGTCGTGGTCCTATCCTCTTCGGTCCGTTGAGTGTCCTCTTGTTGCGCGTCCATCTCGTCCGACGTAGCCTGGTGGTCCTCTTCCTCGTCTTCTTCTGTCTTCTTTGCGGCCTTCTTCTTGGCCCTGCGGAGCTTCCCGTTCAGGTCCTCGATCTCCTGTTGTGCCTGCAAGAAGGCTTCTTGCAGGTTTCGCATTTGCTCTGCCAGCATGGCGAAAGCATCTTTCTTCTCTTTCAGCTGGTTAGCCAGCTTCTCAATTTTCGCCATCGTAGATGGCACACAACCAATCTATCGCAATGAAAATCGCAATAAGATTGCTCAATATGTCCGGGTGGGTCGCAGTCGTGCAAGTTACACTCGCAACGGCTGCTAGCTCGGAACTGTGCCTCCATCTCCTGGCCGTCGAGTTATACAGGGAGTCCGCAAAGTTGGGGTTTTCGTTTTCAGAAACAACTACCCTTGAAATAACAAAGGTAATGTGTAGTGAAACGAGGGCGACCAAGTAAAAAAAAATAAAGGAAAAAGTACTCACTCTCCAGTTGACGAGAAGGGCTAAGTACGTCTCTGCCCGAAATCATACCGCTCCAACAGAAAATGAAATCAGCTGATGCGCTACCGAGCAGACGCAGGCAAACAAGGAAGGCAAAATGTTGCATAAAAAGTTCTAGGTATTGCATCCCGTCCACTCGATTTGGGAGAATAAATGGTCCAATGAGCATACCGTTCACCATGCCAGCCCAAACATTCACCGAAAATGTTTGTTGAAAATGTGCAAGACGGACAGCGTGCGGATTTTCTACTGACCAAACATGAGTGTTGCGAAAGTTATTCACCCCATTACGCGTGAACGTAGATTCGTCTGTCACCAATATGCACTTCAAAATGTCCGGATTATTGTCATGTTGATGCAACAACCACTCACAAAACCGCACTCTTGCTAGAAAATCGTCAGGTTGAAGGGCTTGTACACGTTGGACGTGAAACGGATACAGCCCCTCTTCACGCAGCGTTTGCCACACTTTAGTTTTTGATACTTGCACGTCTCTAGCCACGTCTCTAGTGCTTGTTGTTTTTTGAAACGCAATCGATTATATGGGTTCGTTTACCTCTACACGCGTGACCGTAACCGTCGGTTGAAGGTTGCATACTAACCTGACACACTGACCCCGACCCAGTTCTGTCGTCGGGTTGAGCTAGTGTCCTAGTACCATTCGGGGATGTCGCGGCTACAGGACGGTATTCAGATATTTTTGATGTTGCAGAGCCCTTTATCTCGGTTCCCATAAGACATTGGTGTATATGGTACTAAGAAAAATTGCTTATGTTGCAAGATCTACACGTCGTGTAAAGGAAAACCCCAACTTTGCGGACACCCTGTATATAGTCCCTATTGCTGCTACGAGAAAGGTCTTGTGAACCACAAAGCGACATCTAGAATATTGGAAGGCACTTCGCGTTGATCTAGAAGGCGATCCACTGTCACGTACCTCACAGACGCCGGCAAGCGGCTTGTGCGGTCGTGGTTCGCGTAAAAGTAGAGATCCGCCATGAGGCTCTTGCGAGTAAGAGACTCGCCCAACAGATGACGCCAACATTGCTATTTGTCACAGTATTATTGTATCGTATTCCGCAAGAAAATCTGACGCACGAATTCTGAATACGTTGTAATTTGCTCTGTTCACTGTATGGTAGAGAGGGGCGATATATAGTGTAACAGTAACTGACTTTTGGCTTAATTAAAGTTTCACACAGTTTCAGTTTCACTGAAGTGGATATTTATTTGTCTATCCAGATAAGACAAAATGCAGCATTATGCACTACATAATGAATTCACATGCTTTCTGAAATTGTAGTTCTCTGTTAATCCAGAGTCCCAAGCTTTTACACTCACTCATTATAGGAGGTCGCTTGGCATATTCGATCGATGTTCTGAAGATTTAGGTGGATTCATTTTTAGATTACCCGAGCACGAGAAAACTACTAGCCTTGTTAAATCTTCGTTGATTAATGACTCTGCCATTTTAAAGACTTTGTGTTGAAAACTAAAATAAATTGGAGTATTATCGGCATAGTGATGGATTGTACATTTATGGACATAGGAAATCTGACATATGTACAAAGAAAAAAGTAAAGGACAAAATATGGAACCTTGAGGAAGACCATACTTTATAGCAGTTGATTCCGACAATTTCGAAGCTGATATGACCTTTTCATTTTTATGTCCAGTGCAGAAACCAAGTCCAACGAAACCGACGAGAAGGAACATCGACACTTGGGTCTGTCCACCACTCATGGTGTCTTTGGGTAACAGATGCTATTCGTTCAGCGACAAGGAAGCCACTTTCGAAGAAGCCCACTTTGAATGCAGGAAGAATAAGTCAAAGTTGGCCATAATAAGAAATAAGGCTCAAGATGACAACCTCAGGAGGTTTCTGAACAACTTCATAGGTAAACAGGATTTTTCATATGTTACTGGACCATAAGTTTTTTGCAAGCAATCTGTTAAAACATATTTAGCAATCATCTATGCCAGTAAAAAAAATCCCATCAATTGATTGTCTCTCAGTCTAAAATTCCAAATTTTAAGGAAAACGCATTAAAACATTATGCTTCTTAGTTTTATAGTGCCACCCAGAAAAAGGCCTTGGTAGTTTTCATGCTTTATTCATATATGCACATTCACCATTTTTTAAAAGTCCAATGACAAATTCAAATTGGGCAATTAAACAACAGAAAATATCATGAATACTTTTTCTGAATTCATTTTAGAGAAACAGCCTAGATGGATTGGAGCTCTGTACGACTGGAAGTCTGATAAGTGGAAATGGGCCTTAACAGGCCAACCACTAACTTACAATGGTATTCCTGCGTCAGTGCTCAGAAACACGCCCCCAGAAGCTTTTGAGTGGAAAGCTATCTTTATGGATCCCAAGATGGACAACCAGTAAGTAGACTCTGTTTTTCTCTTTCTCTCAGTCAAAAGTTAGTTTCAGTTGTCTCTGGTTGTCATGTCAACTGTTACTTTAGAACGATGGTTAGCCAAAACAATAACCTAGCCTAGCATGGAAATCCTCGGCAATACCTTTCATATATTGCAAAGAATAGGTATTCTGTCAAACAATTTTATAACTTCTTCCAGGTGGAATACTGATAGCCAGACGAAAAAGAAGCGATTCATATGCCAGGTGAAAGCGAAAGCTGTGAAGAAGTTTGGGCGTGGCCTCCTGAGACCGCCACAAGCAACGATCAGAATAATTCCGCAGTCTCGATCATAGGACATTTTGAATGATTCGTGTGGTCTTACGTGAAATTGTTGTGGAAATATGTGTTTTGTTTGTAAGATCTATTAGTCACCACAGGGATCATGTATTTGCTCCAAAGATTTATTTAAAGTTATTTTAATGTTTGAGCTATATCTTTTATCACATATATCACCAAGTTTCGTACAGGGATCTTTACTTAGATCGAAGACCGATTTATATTGCAGCTATTGCTTATCAATGTCAGAAAGATATGACCTGATTCCTTTGCAGCTGTAACGTTGACATAAAAGGTGACTAAAATACTAGCAATAGTATTAATCTGTGGATTATTATCCAACTTGTCTCGAGTATAGTATCTGTAATCATGAAACTGCCTTACCAATATTCTGCCTTTATATGTAGCATACATTTTAGGTGGAGAAAATGCTTTTATATGTGTATAGTTGTATAAAGATTTATATTTATTACCAGTAATTAGATTTACCTGCTTAGATTTTGTATACTTAGCAACCAGTTAATAGGTATTTGTACCAAGATATCAATAAAACACACACTGTACAATAACAACTTTATTGACTTTTAATCAAAGTGGTATCGGTAATCGTATAAAAAGCAAGAACAAGAAAAATAAATAAATATAGTATATACAGTTTGTTACAAGGAGGAAGAAAACGAAAAATAAAAATACAGCTTAAAACCTAGGCTGTGAGGGTCACAGTTATGGGAAGACAATTTAAAAGTTGACATGAACTTTTTGGATCCTCAATTTTTTTCACTACACTTTGAAGTAATCGAAAACATGAACAAGGGGTTGATCTGAAATTTTTAATTTGCACTTATTGGGCCATTCTATACACTTTTTTTTTGTTTTTACATGCTAGTAACTGAGCGTTGAAATCTCAGTCGGCAGTTAGATCAAGGTATTGAGTTACATGGTATTCCGTGAGATGTTGCGTATAGAAAACGTAATATCTCGATTTAGGAATATTTCACAATTACAATGCACCGAGTGACGTGGGAAATCAAACATCACATTTTATCGAACTTTTCCACCCTACCACAACTGTAACCATTGTCAGGCTATTTGCCATCTACTAAGTAACACACTTAAAGCTATAGCACCTCATGTAATACGTCTTAACATACATCTTTTGGTGTAGATACGTATACGCAAACCAAATTCTGAAAACAAAAATAAATACCTTATTTACGTGAAAAAATTTGTTACCATTCAAAACAGTTCATATTTTATGTTTTCCATAAGCAAAAGTTTTCGCGCTTAGTGCTAGTAATACTGTATCCATATACACGTACATACATCGAATATTATGCTGGCACATCACAAAAGTACAGAAGTTGACCACGTCCAAGAAATTATTCGAAATAAAATGAGATACCATAGCATTATTTATGAAAATTTGTCACGGCTGTTTCTCTATTTACTAGATATACTTTGAAAAGGTTAGTGTCTCAAGCATTTAGGTGGCTACTGTGCCATCCATGAGACATTAACCTTGCAACGGCATTACTATCACATAATGTCCTATTACGTCAGGACTGTGGCTCGAAAGCGAGACCACACATCTCAATTCAAAAGGCTCGACTAACATATTCAGCGTAAGAGAGTGAATGGGCATCCAGATCCCATATTTCTATGTACTCACGAATAGAGAATCTTCAAGGCCCTGGGGTGCTTAACGAGGTAACTATCTTTGCTTCCTGGGATATAACTAAGAGGGGGGCTTATATTGCGCTAGCGGCTAGAGACGATCATAATTCGGATCTTATTTTTCATCCAAGGGGCTATAAATTGAGTTCCTGTTAAGCAAGACAAGCCTATTTAAGGTCATCCCAGACTTTTAGAGTGGGCTCACAAGTTTAGTTTACGGAATAATTATTTACACTGATACTTTATTTTGCGCGATGATTCGATACGCAGGCAGGCTATTTTTTTGTAAAACACTTATATTATATATATTGTTTTTTATACCGAAGCAGTCAGAAGCCTAAATGCCGGGACACCGCGGCTGCTATGAGGATCCCAAGGAAATTGCATGTAGAGTGCTGTCATCAGCGAAGCTGTGAATTGGGTTGATCGTACAGGAAGGAAGGTCGTTAATATTTAAGAGAAACAGTGTCGGTTCGAAGACCGATCCCTGGGAAACACCCGCGTTGATGTTGTGGGATGAAGACGAGAACCCGTCAATTACGACGGATATCCTGCGGCCAGAGAGAATGTCAGCCACACATCTGCAAAGCAAGGATTGAAGTTTGCATAAGAGGGCAGCTTGTCACAGCTGATCGGACGCTTTCGTGATATCAAGAGCATCGATATGGGCCTCACCATGAGCCTGGATGAGTCTACTCCTCAATTGCGTGACCTAAGCTAGGAGGTCTCCTGTGGATCGCTGGTGCCGGAAACCATACTGCCTGTCGCTAATCAAGCCGTGACGTTCGATGTAGTCCAGAAGCTCGCGTTTTATGCACCTCTTCATCACCTTACTTATAACAGAAAGCAGAGCTACAGGCCTGTAGTAAGGGTCGGTCTTAGATCCTTTTTCTGGGATGGGCTGGACATGAGCAAATTTCCAGTTTTCTGGGAAGGGCCGGATTCTTTAGACTGTTGTCTGTTATCAAATTTAAAGGGAGTTTTCCATTAAAAGGTGAAAAGAATTATGTGTTTCCTTTATTAGCAAGCTAAACCCTTGGATGAACAAGTGAAGGGTTGCCTTCCGCCACCCTTGGCTCGTCACAATCCTTTCAAAGTATATACTATACAGTAAGTAGAGAAATAGCTGTAGCAAAGTCTCAAAGATGACGCTTTGGTATTTTATTTTATCTCAAATAATTTTTTGGACGCGGATATATAGCATTAGGTTGGCTACCTTCAGGTAAGATACATTAATCAACGGTCTGGAGAGGATCTCGAGTTATTGAAGAGGAAGAACCAAACAATGACGGTCTATAATAATTTTCCTTGAGAGTGAGTACTTATTGGGTGATATGCATAAAGGTGAGTGGGTTCTCAGAAGTAGCGACTCCATATTATAGCGAGTAACTACTCCTGTTACGGAGAGCCTACTCGGTTTTGATATGCATAAAATATTTATCGAGAAACGGAGAGGCTACTCAAGTTCTAATGAAATACTTGAGTAGGCACTCTGGTTTTCGAGTTCCGACTTGTATTTTGTTGTCTCGCCGAATTGGCAATTTCTCTATTGCGAGCAGTTACTACTGTATACCGGTAAACGTTTGTGTCGGTGGTATTTAGGTCGATTATTATTTGTTCATTTACATGATGTCAACCTATTCTGAAGACCATTCATCTGAAGATCAAACAGTATTTGTTAATATAATTAAACATCCCGGAAATCAAAAATAAACGCCGTAAGGCGGTTGAAGAAATGAAAGAAAAGGTAGAAGCAGAATTAGGAGTTAAATATAATGAAGGGCAGATTTGGAAGAAGATTCAAAACATAAAGACTGGTTACTTATTAAACTTACTTATTTTAACTTTACAAAACCGATATAAAGCCCGATAGTCTACTTTCCTTGATTTCCTACGATCTTCAAACACCTTCGTAGGCTGATAAATAGGCATAAATTCGGCCATTTTGTGAAGACATCCACTTCTTATAAAGCTGAGTCTACTACTAAGGTATCTCGCATTTCTTTAAGTATGTACTCAGCGGTCGGAGTGGACGCTCGCTTTTATGCATAGATATAAAAATTAAAGTCGGCACTCAAGGAGCGAGTACAGCCTCACGGAAAGAGTAGAAACTTATGAGTGTGAGCTTCTACTTACAATTTTATGCATATCAAACGGAGTGGCTACTTTAAAAATGCGAGTCAAAAGTAGCCACTCGCCTTTATGCATATCACCCATTGTAATGGTGGAACTCAAACCTCAGGGTTACAAATCGCCTCTTGGTTGTCATAGTAAAAACAAGAATTGTAATGGTTCAGAAATAACTGTTAATGCGATATATTCTGCTTTTGCATTTCTTGGAACGCTACTACCATTTTGAGGCTACAGTTCGAGAAGAATGTCCAAGGATATTTAAAAAAATTCCACTGCGCGTCAATACAATAAAAAGTTCGCAGACAATGCAAAAGAGGATACTTTTTCGATTATGACAAGTTGAAATCTGATGATTCGAAAAGCGATTATTACTATAAACGCCTAGTGGTTGTCATTTAGTCAAGTATTTTTTCTACGGCTGTTTCCAACTGTTCGGCTCTATGCGCATTTTTTCTCTCGAACACAATTATTGAAGAGTTCCTTATGGCTCAACATATTTCATGTACTCCTCCACAATCGGTCTGGGATAATTAGGATCCACCAAGGTTCCCTTCTCCCTATACGTCCTCCATCGGACATTCTTAATAGATGTCGGCTCTCCATCGGCATCTAGTTCATTCTTCCTGTATTTCTTCCTCCTGTTCTTCTTCTTCTTGGACGTTTCCACCACGGTACCATTGCGGTACTGCGCGAGATTCGTTCTCTTCTGTTTCTTCTTGTTCTTGCGGGGTTTTCGTTTCTGCTCTGCCGGGGCGAATCCTATCAGAGCTTGGTCGTTCAGATGCTGGTTTATCTCGAATCTGTAAAGGCAAGAATAGAAATCAATTTTTGGCCGAATCAAATCATGAGCCGTGTAAAGTACAGTAAGAAACTTGATGCGATTTTTGTCGCTACATAGTGAAAACGCTATTTTATTAGCCAGCGGTATATTTTATGGAAGATATTAACAAGGAAAAAGCCGAAACCTAACATTAAAAATGTCACGCATCATAAGTAGGTGCATAAATGATAGTTGTTGATACAATAAACGAGCTTGGTGCGGAAAACGACTAAAGGTATACTTACTGGTAGGTAATGGGGACGTTGGACTTTAACGTGGCAATGGTACTGCTTTGAGTACCGTTCCCGTATTCCGGTATCTCCGGTACTGGTATTTCGTTCAGCTTGTTGTACTTATTCACGTTGTACTGTCTCTGGAGCTTCTTCTTCTCTTTGTTGTTGGATATCACCCTCATTTTCGTGTGGCATATGAAGTGCTTTTGCTCCACGCATTGACGGGCGTTCCACCTAAAAAAGTACGGGGTATCGTCATATCAAATATTATCTTACAGCCTAAAAAGCAATACCCCTAGGACCTATCAAAATGTGTAGTCGATACCTCTCCCAGATTTTCAGCTCATCGTTCAAGATTAAGAGCATGCTAAGTCAAGACTCTGTAAGTCGGTGGTTTTGCTTTGCATAGTAACTTTTCACTATCGATCTGCCAGGATAGAGTTATTGCAACCAACCCAAAAAAAACAAGAGCTAAGTTCTCGCCAAGATCTTTGAGCCAAACTCCAAAGTGGACGTTTCCCAGAATCGCGAACCTTATTAGGAAAAGATCACGTTGCTTCGTTGTAAACTATATTCATATACTCGTATTGCCTGAGTTTGCATCCGCATCCCGTCCCAAGAGAATTTTTGTCTTCGCTATGTTGTCCATAGGTTGTAGATGGTCTGCTTTCGTCCAGTGATGCCGCACGGGTATAACGTGAAAAACCTACAAAACGTCAAAAAAACCTATAAGATGTCAACCTGCAGACTAGGTAGTTTTTAAGGCGCAAATAGTCATTCCACGTTTGCTCATTAGGATCGTTGTGAACGTCCATCTATGAAGGAATCACTCAACTAAACTACATGCATTACTGGTTGCATAGTTTTGAGAGGCTGAGTGATCCGTATCTGTAGTTTTTATCTCTGAGAAGAAAGTTGGTTGAATAACAAGATCGCGTCTGGATGATTATGTGTAACGGTCTGCATGTGTATAAAATCAGTGATATTTGCTGTGTGAGAAAATCATTACTGAATATGCTGAATATGACGGGTTATTTATATGTTGTGCTTTCTGAAGAGAGGTTATGTTCAAAGTTATAAATTACGAAAAGCTGAGGAGAATTACGGTAAATCATCACCGCACCCGCGTTGTGTGTAATTACTGTTAGCATGTATCTGGCTTGTAATTCGACAGCGTACAATGAATATAATTATTTCTTATCTCTCTCATTTTTGAAATTCAGCAAATTTGTATATGTAATTTCCAGAATGGATAAGAAAAAGTGGATGCGCATTTAATTTCTAGCTTTGAATCTCAATTAAGTGTATTTGAGACAAGAACCCAATGTAATTATCATCAACACATACAACTTACAGCTTAGACCTTCAGTAATGCCATCTCAGAAGCAGATTTTACATCACATCAGAGCCAAAGGGTGATAACAAGCCTCATGACGTTTAGGCAACACGTACGACTAAATGCTAAGTCAACGTATTGGCAAAAAACCTACATAATGTCAAAAAAAACAGCATAATGTCAAAGAAAAATCGGCATAATGTCACTTTTCAAGATACGTGATACCCATGCGGATTCCTAGGAGGAAGCAATCATAAAGAGCTCACAGTATCAAAAGGGATGTTCCGCAAGGATCGGTTTTGTCTTCGCAATTTGACTGATGTCTTCGTTTTAAATGGCTGATGTTTGCTGATCGATTGGAGAGCAAAAATTGAAAACAAAATATGCATATCACTAACTTGGGATGTGTGGTTGAGGTCTCAGTACTATCCTAGAAATAGCACAGAAAACACCCAAGTGAACATTCGGTTCTGTGGATCGGCCAAATGGTAAATATACTCATAGGTTCCGGGTTGTTCACCGAATTCTGACTAGGCAGAAGGAGCTACCATGCGATTTGTTTTGATCCACAAAATGCTAGTTGGCAGTCAGGATGGAAACGCATATTGAACGTCGATCAGGCCTAAGCCGCTTACAGAGAGTACTACCACAGGTGATAGCCGGTCAAAAATCAGGCCCTTCCAGGCCTTTCCTTTTCTGTCAACTGTTATTGTGACATTTAGGAATATTTGATTTTAAAGCGAAAATTCTAAATTCCTTGAATGTAGTTACGATGTATGACAACCGTGAAGTCAGACTAATAAATTGTATTCACCCCTGGGAAAAATTCCTCCTCAGGTAGGGAACGCGTCAAACAGTTGACGGCACAAAGATCAAAGGGACCTATAGCAGCATGCATGATATGTGTCGCTGGTTTGCCAATTGTTGACACTTCGCATGAAACTCGTGTTTTTTTTGCGAAAACGTATAAAAATACGTGGAATTTCATACGGTTCTAGTACCCCAAATGCCAAAAATGGTGAAGGTTTTTTATGGAACCTTAGCCTTTGGAAAAAATCTAATGATAACAGATTTATTGAACCACTTCTATATCCTTCTTTGGATCATCATATAACAGCAATAATTGTCATAAAATAACAATCATCAATATAACAGCAATAGGATAAACCTCTACAATACGCCCCAGCGCGCAGTATGCCCCACAACACTGTCGCTCAAACAGACAGAGATAGAAATCAGGTTGCGACTCGCATGCAATGAAAATACGAGTAGTACCTCTCCGACTTGACTGCCGTGAGAGTGTGATTTTTGCATTTAATTTTAAATTATAGTAAAATCTTTAAATACGATCTTGAGACAAATTGCGGTGAGTACTGTACAAATTATTGAATATAGTGACCTATTCTTTGTATCAAAATTACATTTAGGAATATGGAAACAGTGATAGATAACATACAATTTATTATATTATATTTATTGTATATAGAAATGTACGAAATGCCCCGGCTGTCATAGTTTAATATGACTCAGTTTTACAATGATATATTTTTTTTTATTTACTACCCAAGAGCTATTCCAGAACACTATTTTTCTTTATCTGCTGATCTAAAAGGTCAAGATTTAGTAGCAAATGAACCTAATGAGGAAGATGTCATTTCCAGTGCAGAGGGATAAAAATCCTTTGGAGCAAGAAGATATCAATGCTTCTGCAGTACCATGGGCAGATACTTCACGAGGATTTCTGGCAGGTGATCATCAAAGGATTGACGATGAAGAATCGCATACTAGTATAGAATTGTCGGAGCCAAATATAGTACCTGTGAAGGTACCAATTCAAGTAACGCCTCCGAAGATTTTGCCTAAAGTACACCATGTACCGAAGCTACCTGCTATGACTTAAAGAGAAAACAGAAAGCTGTTATTTTGACGTCACCAGAAAATATACAAAAACAGAAAACTATTGAAGAGAAGACAAAACCTGGGAAACCAAAGCATGTGAAAAAAATAAACCTTCAAAGAAACCAATCAAAATAAAAAACAAAGCAAATGCCAAAACAAAGAACAAGAAACCAAAATATGAGTCATCAGAGAGTGAAAGTGATGAGGCAAAAAGCCGAAATAGTTTGGATGAAGAAATATTTCAAGAAGATGAAAGCAGGTGTAAGGAATGCACGGAAAATTATTATAAGACGACTTCTTAAGGGAATTGGATAAAGTGTCCATCTTGCTATTTTTAAATGTACGAGTTCGAAGCTATTAGAAATAAAAAGAAGCGCCAACCATGAGAGATAGATGATGTCTATTAGGATGGATTATAAAGTTTATTTCAACTTAATAAGTATCTAATAGGATTATAATAGTACTTATGATATTTTTTGAAAGTTTTGTTTATCTTATTAGAGGGAGAGAGATATGATGATTCTTTCCATTTCATGTAAAATATTTTTTTTATGTATTTGCTTATTTTATGGGAGATATTATCACCGATTATAAAGAATGTTTGTTCCTTTTTAAATTTTCATTTTATTATTCCGGGGCATTTTGTAACAGAACTGAGGCATTTTATCAAGGGATGTCAATACAAAACGCCGCACCTAAGGTTTTAAAAAAAATTGCATTGTGATCCATCGTAAAGTATTTCATGGCAAATATAAATTTCATAAGATTAACAAATTACCGCTCCTTTATTTATTCTGTAACACATCAGTAACAACTCCAACAGCTAGGATTTACTGAACTCTAAAAAAAAACCGGGGCGTGTTGTAGAGGTTTACCATAATTGTCATAAAATAACGATCGAAAAGCTTTTTGTTTTAGCCAAGGATCTTCATGGATCACACGCAAAATGTCATAGACAGCTATTTAGAGAAACTACTATTTCCAATATCTGCTATTGATAGCTGTATAATGAAGCTGCTTCTAGCTTCCATTTTGCTACCCGACTATAACCCATTCGACTTAGTTAAGCTTGTTGTCGCTGGTGACAAATTTCTTCAATGGAAGCTATCACTCCAGTTTTGCTCCCGCTACTGTGGATGGAGCTCCAACTATCAAAAGTAGATGGGAAAAAGACAGATTTGATAGAAAGTTTGCCAGCAATAATTACCTTTGTCTATACTTAGCCTTAGATATGACCGCCAACCTAAATAACGCCATCTACCAAATTACACCCCGATCGAAGCTGAATTATCTTTTTTGAGATGGGAAGTGTGCACTCTTTAACATCAACTTTCATTGATCTAACTCAGACCGTCTCATTACATGAGCGACTGATATTATCGAGGGGCTAACTACTTTTCTTTATGCCGAAACAACCGCGTACACAGAAGCCTAAATACCAGGGTACCGGGGATGCTATGAGGAGCATAAACAAACTTGATTAATCCGGTTTTTTAATTGCCTAAGGTTAGTAGAACTGGGAAAAGCCTACTCAAGTAGGTTATTCCACAATCCCGATATTATAGAGACAAAGGTAGCGGTTGTATCGGCCAGTTCTGGATATACGAAGCTCCACTTGGAGAACTCTGAGAAGAAGAACTAGTTGTCGTTGCGAAAAAGTCCCAAGACTGTCCATTTGAGAAGCGTCATCAATCAGTCTCTCCTCTGAACATTATCGAGCCTGTATATGTAGTTGGGGCGGCAGCAAACCACACATGTGAGCAGTACTCGAAGGTAGGTCGAAGGGTACTTTTTTTTTGTACTAGGGCATTGCGTCCCATTAGCCAGTTGCAATCTTGTATATGTATGTATATCTCTAATTATGGACAAACACACGACGTCACAACATCCATGGCTTCGAAATGTGATTTCCGAATTCGAGATTCGAACTCGCGGCCCGGCCGGCCGGCCGGCTGATCAGTAGCACGACACTCTGACCCACGCGGTCAACCGAGGTAAGGATACTTCTTAGTTCTAAGCAAATAGCCTAGCCCCGCCCCATCGAAACCTAATGCGCGCTTGGGCGCTTCCTGTACTGAGTTTTGTATTCAGCTGTTCCTCATTGTTGTGGATCAGATTGACCGTACAAGAGACGAGGTCATTGATGAAACAATGACGGAACCAATACCGATCTGGGGCAAACAACCGCTTTGACATTGTGAAGAAAAGAACCCGATAATTACGACGGATATCTTGCTACAAGAGATCAAGTCAGCCACCAATATGCAAAGCTTGTTTGGACAGAAGATTGCATAAAACGGCAGCATCAAACGTTTTCGTGACATCCTGAGCAACGACAAGATCCTCACATGACACAATGTTGAAACAATCGATCACCGGTATTTATTTAGGGTTTGTGAATACAGGATGATCAATTGAAAATATCAACTTTGTCTTTTGAAGACAATTAGATCACGTCGTCCTGGACAATATAAAGCAAACCAGATAAAATTATCCTGAAGGAGAAAAAAATCCCAAATAACCACCTTGACCCGACTGCCATTGACTTAACGTTACATCATTGGAAATAAACCATTTGCAAACCTTTCCGCATCATCTACACAATGGCCACACCGCGCAGTAAGCGTTCAATGACTCATAAGATATCTGTTATCGCCTATTTTATTACCTGTATCCTATTGCGGGATCCATTATAATACAATGCCACCGCAGCTTATTTTTGTCTTCTCGTCCGCTCTTCAGAAAACCGCTGTAGGATATGTGCTTGCCGTTTTCCCCCCATTTCCACTGCATTGCCTCCCAGTCATACACACCGCCTAACCACCTTTCTTTTGGTTCTGAAAAAGGGTGATTTTATGATCAGATAATTTAACGTTGTCGCAAAATGCAATAGATCAACACGGTTTTTAGAAAAACGTGTGTATATTTCTAGTGCAAAATGTGCGTTCAAAAATAACAAAAAAAACTCCCTATAATATTGGACCCTTAAATGATCTATCACCAAGATTCAGGGTATTGCATATTTCTACGTTATTGATGATACTGAATATACTACATACAATTTCCAATGTCAGTATTAACTTCGTCATATTTTCAAAGTAGATTAAAAGTTTTACATAACAATTTAGCCTCAAATATTAAATCCATTTTTTCTCCAAAAGGAGTAATCTAACAAAAACTTCTCAAGGTAGGCCTTATTCAAGAACGGAATAGACGTTCCACAAATAGACATTGACATTGTAAATATTTTTTTCTTCTGTTGGAGTGAAAATTCACCATATTCCACGCCACTAGTACAGTCTAATTACAAAGCACCAATTTTTTTTGTGTTTATTGTTTATCATGTCTAGTACTACGTATATGTACTGGATGGGCCAATAAAAAAGGATACCGCTAGTATTTGGGCAACTGCTCAACCTATCGATTAAAAAATTCGATAATAAAATCGACCAAGAAACTTGCTGGGAATTATATTTGGCTTCCTAAAATGGCCGCTGGGGGCGTCATCCCAATTTTAAAAATTCAAACGCCAATATTTTTAAAAGATTCGAAATTAACATATTAAATAGCTTTAGCGTGTTGACCACTAATTTTCCAACCTCTCTTGTGTACGTCATTTTTCATATTGTGGTTAGCTTAGGGTGAGGTTGAATGTCATTTCGAAAAAAGTTACATAACTTCTGTTTGGCTGAATTGATTTTGATAATATTGATTTCGTGTGAAAGAGGATTTACTTGCTCTCCTAATTAAATACCAATTTTGTCTGGTTAGTTCGGTTTGTGGTCGCTTTGTTTTAGCGTTTTATTAGAATTTCAAACACGATATAATTTTTTTATTTAGAACGGAAAGTGTATGAAAAGTCATCCAAATTGGTGGAAGCGACAGATCAATAGATATACATTAGAATTTCAAAGCTCTGGTGAATAAGAAGATGGATTTATGGTACGAATAGATGTGTGAAATGTACCAATATGATCAAAAAAGTGTTTTGCCCATGTTTTACTATGTTTGTATTTCCAGTATTTTTTCGACGAAAATAGTTGTCTGACTAATTGTACCAGAGAAACCTTTGTAATAGCCTTTTGTGTGATGGTTTCAGCATCCCAATATGGCGGAACGAACAGAAAGGATAGCAAAGTGGAAAATCGAAAATTTACAAAACCTCCCTAAGATATTACAAACAACGCCGTTTTACTTCCTACGCTGAGTGATCAATGCTGTCGATATGGGCAATGTTGTCAAATACGAGCCCCTTCCTATTTCAGTTGGCCCACCTATTGAAATCTTAGTTTTTTTCTTATCAAACACAAATAATAAAAATGTAGCAGGATGTTATAGGTTTAAAATATTAACAATGAATATTTTGATAGTATATAGTAGAAAACACCAACTTGATCACTCCCTAATCAAATTTGCAGCATAAAAATAACACATATTGCAATTACTGCATATCAACCTATTTTCATTTCAATGCAAAATAAGTTTATAACGCATAGGTGGCTGTGAAAAATAATAGCCATGACAATTGTTTTTATTAATCACAGCTGTCAGAATACGTTTAAAGTAGTTTTGGGTAGTTAAGGTTTTCAAAATGGGTAGAGACAAGGTTATTAGTGAGAAAAGTCGGTTACGGATAATCAATTTTTTTAATTCTAGGAAATCAAACTCAGAAATTGCAACTTTGTTAGACTTATCGCGGTACAGTGTGAGAAATATTGTTAGAAGATATAACATAACTGGTTCAGTTAATATGTGAAAAAAAGTAATATCACAAATGCCGACCGAAGAGCATTAAGAAGAATAATCGTGAAAAACAGGCGTGCCAATTATTTACAATTAAGTGCTCTGTGGAGTGACGCTGTTGCAAGGAGAATTTCGAGGTCCACAACTCATAGAGAGGCTCACAAATTAGGATTTAGCACTTGCAAGGTAAGTTTTCTTATAAAAAGAAGTGAAGTAAAAACCCTAAAGTTGCACAACTTGTTTATAGGCCAAAGAAAAGCCACTATTAACTCCAATGCAAAAGAAAAATCGGCTGAGATGGGCTAAAGAACATAGACAATGGACACCTCAACAATGGTGTGCAATACAATGGAGTGATGAGGCCCGATTCGAAGTTCGTGTTGGTGATAGCCGCAGTAGAGTTATTCGCAAAAAAAATTAAGCATTCCATGTTGACTGTCTGAAGAGGAAAGTGAAATTTCCAGCATCCATTCTGGTCTGGGGCTGTATGTCATCAAAAGGAGTAGGAAAACTTCATTTTATTGATGGAAATGTGGATACAAACAAATATTTGGCAATTTTAGAAGAATCGCTTTTACCAGTGATGGAAGAATGTTTGACATCCGGCCAAGATTTTGTGTTTCAGCAAGATGGTGCAGCGTGCCATACCTCAAAAAAGGCTATAAAATGGATGGAAGGAAACAATGTACCACTTTTGAAATGGGTTTCTAGCAGTCCAGATCTGTCACCTATTGAAGCTTTGTGGCACGAGATGAAAAAGGTTCTACGACAACATCGTGCTCGTACAATCACCGAACTGAGACAAAAGCTTCAAGAAATATGGGATTGTTTTACACCAAATTTTTGCCAACTTGGTGAACACTATGCCCCACAGAATTTCAGCCGTAATAAAAAAAATAAAAAATAAAGGTGATGTTACCCAATGGTAATCTTTCAATTGTTGTTTTGTTAACTTCGCGCATTATATATATATATATGTATTTTTTACGACTAGAGTGTATCTAAAATGTTTTTGAGAAAATAAATTGATTTTGAAGTAAATAGTTTCGTCATGTTTAGTTTATAAAGGCATATTTTGGTACAAATCTTGAAGTGGGCCAACTGAAGTGGGAAGGGGCTCGTATGTATGGAAGATCAACTAATTATTTATCGTACATAAGCCTACTTGACTGACATGATCCATTCAATTCTCTTGTTATACATATTGAACTTTTTTCCAAGAGGGACTACCTTGTGTCGCATATAATCCTGTATGAATTGGAGACAGCGTTGCATAGAAAGGTCGACCTACTTGATGCAATTTTTTGGTACCAAATGATTGGACTACTAATATTCGTTCTGCAGATATAATATTGATAAAAATCAAAAATATGGACTGTAGGGTCAATATTTTTTATCACAGTCACAAAAGCATAAAACGAGAAGTAAAATCAACCAAGATTTTGCCTAATACAGGATTCACCACATTGTTCGATTAAAAATTTAGTGTCGACAGTGCCCATCTTGTAACTCACCTACTGGCTTCCTATTAAGTACATTTCGTATCAGCTTATCCTGGTAGGCGGTTTTGATGATGGCCAGATGACTCCTGAGGTCTCTGCACTTGAACAGGGCATCGTTCCACGTCGCTGGATTTTTGCTAAAATAGTAACATCGGTGGCCTTGCCGCATGAACCTTGGCGGGCAGACGTAGCTTTTCTTTACTGGCTGGGATTCCAGGGAAAGGCATACTGGAAACAAAAATATGTTCTTGAAAAAATATGAAAGGCCCAACAAAATTCGCTATATAGATTATTGGAACTAGACACGAAAAAACATATCTATAGAGAAAACGTACATTGCTAGCGCAGTCAGGTATATTTATTGTTCTAAAATTATGTTGAGATACCATGAACTCTCACAGTTTCAACACATATTCCGCCTGAGATTTTCGAAAATTTCTGGGTAGCAACAAAAAACCGTTTCTTGGGTGGATTGAATACGTAGATCGCTAACCAGAAATTAGTTTTTCCTGAAACCCCAGTGGCGAGGAAGTGTTGTAATCACGAAAAATTTCAAAGATGAGATAAAATATCTTCTGGGAGATATGTTGTTTCTCGGACTCGTATTGTCTATAACGACGGTTCGATTGATGTGCGTCAATCGTCATCAGCTGAACTGAACGTCATGAAACCAAAAATCTTTATAGATTATAGAAGTCTGACAAAAGAGCCGCTATTAAGCAGGCAAAAAGGTCTTGTCATCCTGATGGCATTCGTAGGGCTACAAATCTTGTCCATGAAGTGATAAACGTACTGCACGATCTCCGCAACGAGCAATGGAGCGACTTTCTGGCGGGAATGCTTGATTCAAGTATTCCTCTCTGGAGGGTCGCAAAGTCACTCAGAAACGGAAAACGAGAACAACTCCCACACATCCACGGTCCTGAAGGCATAGTCTTCAGAACGGAGGATAAGGTCGAGGTTTTCGCTGATGCCATGGAAAAACAGTTCTCTCCCAACTATGATCTCGATAATGACCTCGACGAGGAACAGCACATCGTACGATCCGTCAGGAGATATTTTAGGGAAAACGGCATTAACGGTGGCACTGAATCCTCTTCAGATGACTCTTCTTCAGAAGATTCGTGTGAGGCTCCACATAGCACATTAGCGGAACCCTCCGAGTTTCCACATTGCACACCAGCGGAGCTCCTAAGTCATATTAAAGACCTCAAGGTGCGTAAAGCACCTGGGGAGGATCAAATCACCAACAAGGCGTTGAAGCTGCTCTCGCCGAAAGCCCTCACATACTTGGTGACACTAATCAATGCGACGCTCAGAATCCAGTACTTCCCTGCTGGGTGGAGGACTGCTGAGGTCATCATGATTCCAAAAAAGGTGGGTTCGATATTTCCTCAGGCCGTCCCATAAGTCTGCTGTCAGCTCTTTCTAAGCTCACCGAAAACGTGATTTATCGTCGCCTTAAGAATTTTTCGGTTTTCGGTCCGAGCATAGCACCGAGCCACAGGCAGTCAGGCTGGTGGAGCATGTAACCAGAGGTTTACCCTCAGCCTGAGTACTGACATCTTGCTTTTGGATGTCTCAAAAGCCTTTGACAAGGTGTGGCACGCGGGCCTCCTCTAAAAACTAATCCAAAAGGGTTTTCCTTTTTGGCTTCTAAAATTACTGAAATTCTTTCTTGGAGGAAGGAAGTTGCGGATCAAAATTAACAATGTTTTGTCAACAACACGGCCAGTACGGGCCAGTACCAAAAAACGTCGCGGCCCCCCAGCAGAGGTTTCTGTAGACGGAAATCGTGTACCATGGACACATTCTGCCAAGTATCTCGCTGTCACCCTTGATAAAGGCATGACCTGGCAGAAACATACAGCATCCATAAAAACAAAATTCCAAATTGCGTTTCGGCAACTATATCCTTTGTCATGTAGATCCTCCAAATTGAGTTTGATAAACAAAGTTCGACTATATAAAATAATTATTAGACCAGCCATTACTTATGCATGTGCGGCTTGGTGTTTTCTTGCCAAGACACAAATGCAAAGTCTTCAAGTACTGCAAAGCAGAACTTTGCGGACAATTTGCAACGCTCCATGGTATGTCTCAAATGAGACACTACACAGAGACCTTGACATTCCTTACTTGAAGGATTATGTCAAGCTTCATGCGCAGCGACATTATAGTCAAGCGGAATCGCACAGCAATCCTCTGTTGCGTGACTCAGTGGACTCCACAGTGGAGCAAGTTCATAAACATTCAAGGCCACGGCTCGCACTGTAATCAAAAGTTAGCGTGAATCTTTAGTAAACTCAAAATTACACTCTAACAAAACCGAATCAAAAAAAAATGTTTAGTTCACCTCAAAATTAATCCGCGTACCAAGTCGAAAAGCCTAGGTGTTTCCTCTTAAACTAAGCATATCTATTTTGCTCTTCTTCTTTTTTCTTCTCTTTCCCTTTTTCCTTGTCATTGTCTGGTTTCTGGGCAACCAGTACTGACAGATTCGACTAACGTACATTAGACAGTGACTAATGGGTAAAGGTCCTACGGACAGCCCAGACAAACAAATGACGAATAGTTTATGACATTTAGAACATCAAAAATCATAAAACTCAATTTCTTGCAATCTGTCTGTCTGTTGGTCTGTCCGCTAATCCTTGGCCCGTCTATAACTCGGAAAGTACTGCTCTGATTTTGCGGAAAGTTTCACGCAAAGTTACTAGGACGAAAACGCATTATAGATATGTCGAAAATGGTGGCGCATGGGTTGTACGGAGCGGGTATCATGTAAAAAACCTATAAAACGTCAAAAAAAACCTATAAGATGTCATATTGCAAACTAGGTAGTTTTTAGGGCGCAAACAGTCATTCCACGTTTGCTCACTAGGATAGTTGTGAACGTCCATCTAAGCAGGAATCGCTCAACTAAACTACATGCATTCTTGGTTGCCTATGTTTTGTGAGCCCAAATGATCCTTGTCTATAGTTTTTATCTCTGAGAAGAAATTTGGTTGAATAGGAACATCGCATCTGGATGATTATGTGTATTGGTCTGCATGTGTATGAAATCAGTGATATTTGCTGTGTGAGAAAATCATCACTGAATATGCTGCCAATGAAGTATATCTATTGACTGTGCCCGACGGGTTATTTTTAAGTTGTGCTCTCTGAAGAGAGGTTATGTTCAAAGTTATAAATTACGAAAAACTGAGTAGAATTACGGGAAATCATCACTGCGCCCGCGATGTGTGTAATTACTGTTAGCATGTATATGGCTTGTAATTCGACAGTGTACAGTGAATTTAATTATTTGTCTCTTTCATTTTTGAAATTCAGTAAATCTGTATATATAATTTGAGACAAGAACTCAATGTAATTATCATCAACATCACATCAGAGCCAAAGATTGATAACAAGCCTCTTGACGTTTAGGCAGCACGTACAACTAAGTGCTAAGTTAACGTCTTGTATAAAAACCTATATAATATCAAAAAAAAACAGCGTAATGTCAAAAAAAATCGGCATAATGTCACTTTTCAAGATACGTGATACCCGTGGTGGTCATAAAAGAGTATCTCTAACTTTTCTGATGATAGATATTTCAACTTTTCCTTCGCGGACTGAACGACGGGTTGCTTTCGCGGCTGACGAGAGGCAAGCTTAGTCATAGCAACGTTGCCAGGTAACCGGTACTGTTTGTAGCGGTAGAACAAATTTCCAGATCTCAACATTCTCAAATTAATGGGGAGCTTGGAATCATTTTATGAGCCTGTTTGACTGACTTGATCCTTTCAATTTTTTTGTTATACATGTTTGTAGATGAATTTTTTCTCAGGGGATCTAACTTGTGGCTAACATAATGATATATGTTTGCGAAACTTTAGGACTTTTTTGGGCTGAAGGAGGTATCGAAACAGAAAATTCTGCATTGTAAACCCTAAAATCTTGAGGCATTGGAGATAGTTAGCAAAAAGTCTTGCATATCTCCTATATCAGCCAATAGCCGTTTCTTGGGTGAATGCTACGTAGATCTCGAATCTGATGCCAGTTTTTGGTGAGATTGAAAGGAGATCGCGTACTTTAAATTGGGCTTCGCAGTACTTTAGAATATTTAAGCGAACGTATTCGGAATCCCAGATTACTCCAATGAACAGTGCTTCGTTCACTGGTCAGCTTATTCCTGGTCAGCTGTCTATTCCTTTCATAAGCTAAAGACTATTAGTATTTCCGTCCAGAATGTTGGCAGTGTCAAGAAGTAAATTAAGCGCGAAACATGTGGCAGGGCAATTTGTCATCAGTATGGAATTGCGGCATATTTTCAGATAAGTTCCTGATATATGTAAATGCCTTTTCTTACCACAAGTCAATGAAATGTTGAACATTATTGCAGAAAATGACAAATAAATCATTAAAGCATTTTATGTAAATTCTGCATACCGGGAATTTTCTGTAACAACATACCACTCCATCTGATTGTATATTAGGTTTCCGGTGTAGCTGTATCTTGAAAGTGTAAACAAGGAGTGAAGTTGATTGACAGTTCCATATTTTAATTTATTATAAATACATTTTTAATTACGCATACATATATCAATCACATACGATATGATTATTATTATTTGAACTAATGAAATGAAAAAATAACAAGTGTGATTAAATTGTGCAGATGCCAATAATGAGGTGACCCTACAGTTAGGGTAACTCGTATGAAAAAAAATAGCAGATTTTTCCATGCCATATATACCGAAAGTGAAAGCAAACTGGTGTGACAACCCACTTGAAATCGGCATACCATTTTAAGTTCACATGTCGTTGAACTTCATAATATAAAACGTAGCAATACCTGAAAATACTACTAAAGGACAGACCGATAGCTTCATCCTCAGCTTCGCGCATGGTTCAGTCACTCGATTTGCTTACTTCGTGAAAAGAACTATAATGACGTAACCGACATTGAGAGATTTTGATTTTTTGGAAGATTTAAATAGATTGTATTTGATACGTTCAGCATATTAAAAATCAAAATTTTGTTAGAATAGCTATGAGAAACATGCGATTTATATAAGTACAACTGTAACAGTTTATATTGGAAAAATGATGGTAACATCATGGTGAAGATCGTTACTGTTTTACAGAAGCTCAATCTCGATATTGTAACGTACCATAAGTCTGTCTCATCGATTATACTAAAACGTTTTTTTTTTATACTCCAACTACCACGAAGGCCTAAGGCCTAAACACCCATTGGGTACCGTGGGGCTATAGTGGGATACAGGGGAAGGGGGAACGCCACACGGAATCTGGCGAGAGAACACGTGTGCATGCAACATGCACACATTCTGGCTCCGCCTACGAGATCCACCGGGTGGTACCTCCACGTTCGACAGTCAGAGACCGTCTACCACCTACGGACAATCACAACATCCATAGCCAAGAGAAAATTTTCTCCTGGGACGGGACTCGAACCCGCACAGCGCACGGCGACTGATCAGGAGACCGAAGAGTCTACTACTGCGGCCACCGCTGCTGCCTCATCGAGTCTCATCGATTATACTAAAACGTGGTATTTTTTACAATATTCTTGCATGGAAAAAATATAAGTCCCAGTATATATAGTGTGTTACAGCTCTAGTGTAACAGCCAAAATATCTCGCGGTCGTTCACTTTTTTGCATACCTTGGTAAAATATATCTTATAATAACCCCATAGTAAATTTAAAAAGTTATAGCTATTCTTCTTTCATCGTATTCCTGGTAATTTTACAATGTTCTTGCAATGTATCCATAGCAGTAATTGTAAAATTCAGAAAAGTGGCTCCAGGAGATTGTACCATATTTTTCCATGACTGTACAGAAAAAATATTTTGCTGTATTCTATGTTTTTCTTCAAATTGGTGAAATATCAGGTAACCAAATAAGTTCGTGCGGTTGCTGTATATCGCACATTGCCATGAATGTTGATCGATAGCGACTGTTTGTTACCTGTTGTCACTTTAGTAAGACTCCTTCTTTTCTCACGCATAAAAAGTTGCTGAAAATTGTTACACACCTAGTTTTAATAATTGAAAATGGCGACGAATAAAACAGTAATTCGAAGTTGTTTACTGTATGAGTACAAACTTGGTACAAAAGCTGCAGCGGCGGCGCGAAAAATATGTACCGCATTCGGAGATGATGCCGTTAGTGTTCGAACAGCACAGAAGTGGTTAAAAAATTTTTCTTCGGGAGATCTCAATTTGAGCGATGAACCGCGCTCCGGGAGACCAAAAATCATGAACAACGAGGATCTTCGACAGGTTGTGGACGCAAATTCCAGGACAACGTGTCAAGAACTTGCAGAAATGTTTAGAGTGAGTCCTGATATTATTCGCTTGCATCTTCATCAGCTAGGAAAGACGTAGGGAAGTTAAGCAAATGAGTCCCACATGAACTGACAAATGGTAACAAATTAAGTCGTCTTACCATTTGTTTAGCAAACATTGCACGCAATGCTAATGAACCATTTCTTGATCGGTTATTAGCCTGCGACGAAAAATGGATCTTGTATTCGAATTATAAGCGTACGTATCATTGGTTGTCGCCTACTGATTCGGTACCACACACGCCCAAGGCTTCCTTGCACCCAAACAAGGTTTTGTTGTGTGTTTGGTGGACAGCAACTGGAATTGTCCATTATGAGTTTTTGGAAAGGAGTCAAACCAATACTGCTAACTTGTATTGGCAGCAGCTTCAACGAGTACAAGCAGCATTCATCCAGAAACAGCCTTATTTGATCAATTGGAAGAAAGTGATATTCTTGCAGAATATCGCCAAGCCTCATACCGCAAAAGTGACCCGAGAAAAAATTTCTGAACTCGGCTGGGAAACGTTACCGCACCCGCCATATTCTTCCGATATTTCGCCCAGTAGTTATCACCTTTTTGTCTCTTGGCAACTGCAGGAGGCACCGACAGTTTACAACTCGAGATGGTGTAATAAATGCAGTCCGCCAATTTTTTGACTACAGTATATTCAGATAAGAGATAGACCGGACATAAACAAGACCACGTGATCATCGAACGCTGTAACATTCGGCAGGGACGTATTAAGAGTCACGCAGTACATATTTTAGATAGTAGATGCTGCTTTGCGTAACTTTGTAGTAAATTAGCACAATTCGATGTGTATACGATTGGTGATGGATATAGGATCATGTGGGGGTGGGGTAAGAAATTTATAATGATGTAAATATACATAAGGGTTTCAAAATTTTCGCATCGATTTCCAGCTTCGGATGCCGCCTGATGTTTGGTGAAATACAGTCGAATATAATCTCAAAATGGCGTTTAAATTAGCCTAAATTCAAAATAATCGTATATCTCTTAAAATTGCTTTTAGAATATTGATTAGTATATTTTTTGATTTCTAGGTAAATATATAACCAAATTAAAACCTTCAAAACGTAAAAAAATGTGCATGGTTGAACATTTCAGAAAGTAGATTCTTGAATAGGTTTTGCCAAAATGGGTTCAAAAATGTCAATAATTAATTAAAAAATACAGTATCTTTATAATACTTATAACTTACCGAATTTAATGAACGACATCTTTTATTGGAAAGATGAGCTTGATGAGCTTTCATCATCGCTAGTGCCTGAAGCACCAACGTCAATAATGAATGGCTCGACTTGTTCCTCTAAAATATTGTCCAGTTCCCACATTCTCTTTTCAACTTTGTCTTTCACGTGCTTAATACAGTTTTCCCATTTTTGCGCTGTTATTAATTCTAGTGCTTCGTTGAAAAGTCCTTTGAGGTCACAAAATTTAAAAGTTGTATTTTGCTTAGCTATATAATTTTTAACCTCTGCCCATATGAGCTCAATGGGATTGAGCTCGCAATGGTATGGAGGTAAACGGAGCACAGTTTTATTTTGACTTGCTGCCATTTCGTCAATGGCGTATTTTTGATATTCCGCCTTGTGATCCTTAACAATTGTTAATGATTGTACTTTCAGCATTGCTTCTTCAAAGTTGATATTTTTAATAAATAATATATAATAATAAACAATAAAACATCCACGCATTTTATCGAAAGTTATAAAAGCTTTGTTACTTGTAATATGTTTTATCTGCCCCCTGGAATTAATGTTTAGAACCTTGTTCCCAAGGTTTGAAAAACATCCGATTGTTGTCTATTACTCGTATCACAGCTCGTATTTACCTGCTGGATTTTTTAATCCGGTGGACAGTCCATCTAGAAAGGCCCTCCTGGATGAAGTTACAGAATCATCAACCCATACTTTACTTGTAGTGTGTCCTGCGTTTACCCACGTTTCATCAAGGTAATAAATCTTCCTGTTTTGATTTCTATGTTTCCCAATTTTTGTTAAATAATCCCTCCTCCATAGCACAATTTCTTCTCTATCCAGTAGTAAACTATTACGACCCCGTTTTTTCCATTTGAAATTTAAATGCTTCAGTAACGCATGGAAAGTTGATCGTTTGAAATTTGGCAACGTTGTATCTCCATTTACCTCCTGCAGTACTTTATCTATAGTAGGTATTTCATTCCTAAAGAAGAATTCATGCACTTTCCTCCTAATCGCATGCTTATCAGCTTCATCCAATGATTTAACAATACTTTTGCGATGTTTACTGGTCATTGGCTCAGAAAAGGTGTGATTTTTTTTTGTATTGTCTTAACACATTAAACACTGATGCGCGACACACCCCAACTTTGTGAGAAACCTTCACAACAATTTATTTGATGGTTGATGCCTCGTTCTCCTCGCGCTCGATCTTATATATATTCAAAATGACCTCTTTCATTTCTGCACTCAGGCGTCTTTTTTTAGAGCGTTTCCTAGGTGGACTACAGGAGTTTACAACTTCATCGCCAGTATCTGTACTACTGGGCATTTTGCGCAAGCAGTTGATAACAATAACAATCAATAACAAGGTATAACAATAACAACGACAAACTCAACAACTTAATAAGATAACAAACGAAAACGTCCAAAGAAATATCAAATTGCAATGATGCACACGACATACGTAACACGTCTGAACCTGAATGTGATCTTGATACGACTGCTCTGCCGCTCGGCATAGGCATTTAATTGCGAATTGACCAATGAGGGCTCCTGTTTTACGTCGAGACGGCGGCGTTAGCGTGAAAATCATCCGAACCTTTTGTTTACATCCGGTCTATCTCTTATCTGAATATACTGTACAAATCCAGGGAGTTCTACAATACCGGCATACAAAAATTGGTTCCACGTTGGCAAAGGGTCATAGAATGTTCGACGAATAAATAGTGCCTTATTATTTCTCAATTAAAATTTATATTTTTCTACTAAAAACCGCACGATTTTATTTGGTTTCCAATATTAGTAAGTATCATTTACATTGGCACATATACTGTACCTGTACGTGACATTGCTAGACTAAGCGCTGAAATATTTTACTGAAATAGCTAAAAAAATGAAATGACTTTAAAAGTTCATGCATCTGTCACAATATTATTAGATGCATGTATCGATATGAACTCTGATGTGAACCCTCCTAGGGATAATATTCTACGACTACATATCCGCATATTTTATAATTTTTCCTTACCTGGTAATATCAGAACAAATGTGAGGACTTTCATTGTCGGATAAAATAGTCCCGTTTATTCTCCACGAAGTGCAAATTGCGCTCTCATTTTAAGATGTGGGTGACTCAAGGAGGTCCCCGCCACGACCTGAAACAATAAGTTAATTACATGTAAATAAATGCGGAAAGCAAATGGTATTTGTATATTGTGTTGATTTGGGAACGTTTGTTTCGTTGCTATTATTTAAATAGGCGGTAGCAGACAGGATCTCCAATAAAAAATGAGGGAGCCATCTAGATATTTTCAATTAATCATATCATATCGTATTTATTTTTATATTGAAGCACCTTCCCAAAAACAGCCTAAATACAGAAAGTTTTAAACTGGTCGAGAATAACACAAAAAGAGAAAACCTCTCTAGGCCAGGAAATTGCTTCAGTGGATTACTTAGATTACTATTAATTAGTAGTACAAATTGGCGAAATGGTAGAGCAGAAACATTTACCGCCCTTTTGGTAAAAGCGTTTGATCAAAAATCTGAAAAACCATCGATCTTATGCAAAAAAATAGTAGAAACAATTTTCCGCTTTTTCGCTACTGTAAAAATTTGCCATACAGTCAACTGGTTACAAAAAGTTAAGCGTAAAGGTGAATGTAATGATATTTTCGCTTATAACGGCTAAACCAACGATTTAAGCACATAATGACTTCCATCGTTTTTTGTAAAACATAACGTTTTCTGAAGACTAAAGGTCTTTCACATTTTTTTCGAAACGTTCGTGGTTCTTGTAGTCTAAGGAGCGAAAGTTAATAATTCGTATTCAGACGTTTTCGTAACAGTACAAAACATGCTTCCAAGTGGGGATGACTCCATAAGTCATATTTACCGTTTTAAAGCGAATATATTTTTTCACTATCATGCGTGAGTATTCAAAATGAATATTCACTTCAAAATGGCATTATATATCATAGTTAATATTTTATATGGATAACGTGGACAACGTACGTAACGTGTGGAATGTCGCGCGACTTCCAATACGAATTTTCGTAAAAAACCTTCTTGATAGCAAATTTTATTCTATGCAAAAAAATAGTAGAGTTTTATACTCTTCTATTCTTAGTTTAGCAATTACAGGGTGCGTCATCTATTACTTTTTTCTCTATTTGAAAAATCAATACGCTTGTTACGAGGTGAAATCGATTTTTTTATTGATAAATGAAGGTTGGTTTATGCCATTTATGTATGAAAAATAACATCAGTCATGTGACCACCTCAGCCTCGTTTACACGTCAACATCCGAGGATCAAAATTTCCCAGAATAATCGGGTCTATTGCGAATATTGCGCTTTAGGTCTTGAATTGTCCGGGGGCCATTCGCATACACTTTTTCTTTCATAAATCCCAAAAAAAATAGTCAAGAGGTTTTAAATCGCACGATCTCGGAGGACAACTGACATCTGAATTTCGTGAAATTTCGTGTGCAATAAGGCGATTTTCACTCACTGCGGCTATGTTTTCACGAGTACGAGCTGGACGAGCATGTTGGTATGGTCTACGACCTTCAGCTAAACCAGTTTCCTCAAAACGATTAACAATCCAACGAATTCCAGGCTCTGTAGGGCGTCCATGTCGGCCAAAACTATTGCGAAGTTTGCGAGAAGTATTTTTTATATTTCGACCGTTTTCCTAATAAGTTTGGATAACCAAAATGCGTTGCTGTGTTGTAAACGAATCCATGACTATAAATAGCATACCTTTGACATTCATTTATGCATACCACATGACTTTTGACTCACATGGTAACACATAAACTGATAGGTAAAAAAAAAGTAATAGATGACCCAGTATAAGCCTTAAATTTCTCGTAATCTGTATTTTAAATTTCCAAACCTCAAAATGCGTAATTAAAGTACTGATTTCCTAACTCTATTACGTTGACTGCTTATTCTTCGAATGTTTTTCTCAATGTCATTTTTCCATATTTTGTTTCATTTTGTTGAATGTCATTTCAAAAAAAGTAATATAACTTCTGTTTGGCGGGACCGATTGTCACGCCCTTGGTTTAAATCGAAAGACCTGGTACTTGCGCTCCTACTAACGGCTCAATCTTCATAAATTAGTTCACTTTGTGGCCAGTAGATAGCGACTTAATGATGTGTCACGATTTTTTCAATTCTTTCGAAAATGACAATACAAGGGAAAACTATTTAATATCGCTCGCAAGGAGCATAAAAATTCCTATAAAATGGCGAAAACCGGAGATCAATATCTTTATTCGTTGTGGAGATTTAATGAAAAGTATATCAGGCGACACTTACGACCCCTATCGGTTATATAAAGAGTAAAAATAAATTTCCAAGTAAAATATTTTGTACTCGTATTAGGTATATTGATTCATTTTACATAACTGTTCATAGCTTTTCTTTTTGTTCAGTATAATGAATAAAGATATTGATCTGCGGTTTTCGCCATTTTATAGAATTTTTTATGCTCTTCTCGATCAAAGTCAAAAAAGTGTACCGATGTATTTGAAATTTTCGAGCCACATTCGGTGCTACATTCATAAAACTATCTAGTGGACACAAAGTAGGCTAATTTGACAAGGTTGAGCCTTAAATAGGAGCGCAGACGGAAGCTCTTTCGACTGAAACTGAGATCGTGAAAATGGGTGCAGCTAAAACAGAAGTTATATTACTTTTTCTGACCTATTCAGTGACGATTCCACACAGGAATGAGTGAGAACAGCAAGTTACCCTGATAAGGAAATACGAGTATATCTGTGCATAAACAGATCGCTCCAAGACCAAGGTAGGTGCTGCAGCTGGTATCTTCGCGCCGAAGCTAAAGGTTAAAAAATCTGTTAGCCGAGGAACCTGGGCATCGATCTTCCAGGCAGAGCTATATGCTATAGAACTGTGTGCCAGAATGATCGCAGTAGGACAACTGAAATACAGAACTATAATCATTTTTTCAGGTAGTCAAGCCGCACTTAAAGCACTTGACTCCATCTGCTCGACATCAAAATTAGTGTGGAATTTCAAAGAAGCTCTCGGTGGCATAGGGGAGGGAAATGAAGTCCGTCTCATATGGATACCAGGACACACAGGTCTAGAGGGAAACGAGATAGCTGACACTCTGGCAGTGGGGCTAGCACACCTTTCATAGGACCTGAGCCAGCGATACAATACGGCTGAACAAATCATCTCTGCAGGACGCTGAGTGCAGACTGCGCATGGAGGGAGATGAAACGGTCTGGCACGTATTGTGCGGATGCCCTGCAATTGCCAGAATCAGGTACAACATACTTGGAGACGTAGTACTACAAGCGGAAAACATGAAGGATATTTCTCCAAACAAGTTGATCGACTTCCACAGGAGGTCGGAGCTACTGGGGGAAATATAAATAGATGTGAGCCACAATAGACCAAAGAGCCGCAGTGGAGGATCGTTATTGATGCACTCACAAGAAACCTAACCTGACCTACTTTTTCCAAAGTGACATGCAACTCTTCCCCCACCCTAAACGAACCAAAATATGCAAAAATGTAGTTAAGAAAAAAGTTCGAAAATTGAGGAACCAACATAATAGAGTTATTGAATCAGTACGTTGATTACACATTTCTGCAAAATAATAGCGTTTTAATTTTTGAAATCGATACTACGCCATCTAGCAGCCATTTTAGGAAGCTGGAAATAATCTCCAAGAATTTCTCTTGACCACTTCTGTCTGAAAAATTTTTAATGGATAGTTCTAGACTAAGCGATTGACGAGATATTGCCGACGTCCTTTATTATTGGGTCACCGGTACATCAAAAACTAACATACTACTACTAGGTTTTCAAAATCGGTTAAGTGATGGCAGCGAAAAACGGAAAAACAAAAATCGCTCAGACTTCGTTTTAAAAATGTTCTATGGGTGAAAGATTGGAGGTGGTGTATCGCAATTTTTGGATGTTAGCATGACACCAATCTGAACTTACCATTAGAAAGCAATAATCTAACAATAACACCAAAAAATTTACAGCTGAAAAAACTCTAGAAAAATATTACCTATTTCCTGGTTTACCATTCGCAAACTCTAAATAAGGTTTCGTATTTTGATGGCCGTTAATGTGGAACAGGAAAGCGATTGAGTCAACTCGATCTCTGCGTAACACCTTCACGTTTTAACAGTACAACAGTGTAATTTATTTTATCGCCTTATTAACAATATGAAATTTTGGGATTATTTAAATTCATTAGTTTCTAATAATTGTATTGTTATGGTAAGGTCACGTATGTTTTAGCGCATGAAAATTCCTTGAAATCACATTAAACGGATAGTTTCTCTTTCATATGACATCCTAAACAACAATTTGATAATTGTAACAATAGTGTCACCATAAATCATCAATTATTTGCGGAATTTCCCATGCGCCTATTTATATTTTCATGATTCGACTACGTCTAAACCACCCACGTAGCCCTGAGAAAATAATTTATGTATAGATATAAAAAATAAGTGATCTAACGCTCTATGCAGCTCATAAATTGTCACTATCATTCATTAAGGAAAACGCAATTAGAGTCTGTTGGTGATCCAGTCGAAATAACAAAACAGTTTATTCAAATTTTTATTCCGGATTTATGAGTTGTCAACAAGGACATGGGCGTGACGTGAAAAAAGTCAAGCACGCAGTTTTGTCTTTATTTAAAAAATATGAAGGTAGTCTGAGTGTTCAGCTCTAAGGGGTTGTAACAGCATTTAAGGAATGAGATAACGTTGCCTATCAGATTGACTCCAACGCAACTCTGTCTCCAATTTTAACACCGACATGTATCGTTGGTGAACTTTAATAAACAAATAACAATATCTTCAATATACGCATGGATATTTGTTTTGTATTACTGATTTATAAATTACCTTCACCCCTAGAGTAAAGCCTTTAAATTGTCTATGACTTAAAAAGTAATCCATTAGGAGCCTTTAAATTTTATTTTTATTAGAATGACTTTGAATTGCCTTTGAACATCGCACCTTCTTGGGTTGCCTAGGATCTCCTTAGATTGCCTCGGATCTCCTGCCAGTAGGATAGCAGATCGTGATGCTTTCCGCGCTCCATCAATTACCTCATATCTCGCTTGCATTATCTGGAATATCTTCGA